CGTGGCAGCGGCGGACACCCTCGTGGAACAGCAGCGTGTGGGCGATCTTCAGCAACACCACGCTCTTCAACTCGCTGCCGACGGTGTGCTACTACCCGTGCTTCAACACGACGCAGCCGCTGCGCCAGCAGTCCGCGCTCGAGGCCTCCGTCGCCGACAGCGCGGCCGCCCACACCGCGCGCTCCGCCTTCTGGTCGCGCATCCTCTACTCCGAGCGCTACATCTACAGCCTCATCGGGCTGACACTGGTCGTCAACGTCGTTCTCTTGTTGTTCCGGTGTCTGCCGTACCGCTCGCGCATCCCCTCGTCGCGGGTGCGCACCATCTGGCGCGAGCGTACAGCCATCGCGCAGGGGTTCCGCGCGGACTGGTTCGCGGTGGTGCATCCGGCTTCGTTCACAGACCCCAAACACATGACCACCCCCACTACCGGGTATCACGCCTCGATTGGGAAAGCCAAGGCACGCGAGAAGCGAGGAAGCGACAGCATCCTCGAGAAAACGCGCGCCACCCTCGCGACCGCCACCGCGACCCCGCACACCATCACCTGCCTCCTGCACCTGCACACGCTCGGCTCCCTGGTGCGGCTGCTGCTGGACCTGTGCATCCTCTTCGCCGTCGGGTTCAGCATCGTCATCAGCCCGCTGACCGTGCTGGCCTTCGTCGCCTGGATCGAGTACTACATCCACGAGGACGGGCCGGCCCAGGAGACGCCCAAGCAGGTCGGCCAGTGGGCGCCCCTGGCGTCCATCGGGTTTCTGGTGGTGTCGGCGGGGATCCTCAAGTTGAAGGTGTGGGTCGCGCCGCGGCGGGAGATCGAGTGGGAGATCGAGCAGGTCCGGGGACGGCTGAAGCGGTTGGAGGGGATGATTGTTTAGGTCTTAGGTTCTAGCTTTCTCTACTGGTGAATTGACGCACACGGGGACTTTTGTAGTGCAGAGAGCTGATTAATGAGTGAGGTGGAGTGCACGCTAGAGCGCTCGCCTTGTCTGTATTATAATATCCTATCTTTTTACGAAAAAAGGACTCAGTAGCATAACCCTAACCACCGCCCGCAATCTCCCCCTCCAACCGATCCGCCAAATCCATCAGTTCCCGGGGTTCCATCCCCAGCCCGATCGTCGAGTGGATCGCCAGATACTCCCATTCCCAGTCTGTGGTTGGATCGTGCACGTCCAGCCCACCACCACCTCCTCCTCCCGCCTCCGCAACGCCAGGTTCATGAACCTCCTGTCCCCCCTGCCGCTCCATCTCCCCAGGCATATCACCACCACCACCAGCGAAAGGCGTGATCGGCCCCATCATCACACGCAGATTCTCCAGCTCGGCGCGCCGCATCGGCGCCGCCAGGTTCCCCCGGGCGACGATCTTCTCGAGCACGCAGTCGATGTGCTCGGCCCAAGGGCTTTCGGCGGGGATCAGGGCCGGCGCGATGGCCTGGATGACGTAGAGGATGAAGGCGGAGGCGAAGGCGTCTTCGATCTGGAAGGGGAGGAAGGATTCTTTCGCACTCGTGTTAGTATGAGCCCCTGGTGTGAGGGTTGGTTGGGTTGAGGGGTTGGGGGATACCGATTAGATCCTCGTCCGCGAGCGTCCGGAGAGTCTGCAAGACCGTCAGCGCGGACTCGACGCAGCACTGGAGCAGCGAGGAGACAGTGGCGGAGAGGCCGATGGCGGCGCGGGATGGGGCCCGCTCGATGTGCGTGTGCAGCGCGCACATGACTAGGGGTCGGGTGGTGAGGACGATGCTCTTGCATTCTTGGTCAGTGTCTTTTTCGGTGGGGTGCTTGATTTGCGAGGGAAGATTTGCTGGGTGAAAAGGTGGGGAGTGTACATGGTGATACCCCAGGACCAACCGCGTCGCTGTCCGCGACGCCCGGCTCAATGCCGCGGGGAACTCGGCGTTCAGGAACCCGGTGAGATCCTGCGAGAGCTCGGCCAGGTTCCGCAGGATGGCCTGCGTGTCTTTGATCAGGGTGCCGGTGGAGTCGGGGCCCACGCCGTAGACCGCTAGAGATTTCATTGGTCAGGTAACGGAGAGGAATGAAGAGGGCTGGGAGTGCATGTACTCGTTAGAATCCTCGCATTGAGTCTGGCGAGGCGCACGTGGAAGGTGATCGTCTTCTCGTCCACCGAGCCATCGCTGTACAGCCGCACGGTGATGTCCTCGTCGCGGATGGAGCTGGGCGCCCCGATCAGGGCGGCGAACTCCCGGTCCAGCATGTAGACGATCCAGAAGATGGTCCGGCAGCGGTGCGAGAATTCCGCCCCGTCCAGCTCCTCCGGCACGTGGCGGTGGATGCCTTCGATGATGCAGAAGCGGAGGGCGAAGCCGATCTTTATCTGTCAGCTGATGGCACATTGTCGGGTGAACGGGGAAGGGGGGAAACACACGTGCTGAAATGCGGCGACGCGCATATCGATCGACTGGAAGTACAACGCCGCGAGGGTCAGGGTGCGGATGCACTGCAGCGGATCGGGATACGTCCCCGACAAGTCCGGCATCAGGGACATCGCGCGCGCGGCGTACTGATACCCCGACGGCGGCGCGTTCGGCGGGTGATTCTGTGCCAGGAAGGCTTTTCCGAAAGCGAGGACCAGCAGATACTGTGCGTACCACAGACGCATTGATACAACTTTCGTGGCGGGATCGGTGTAGAAGTCATGCAGGTGGCGGAGGAAGGAAGGGCTGTCGATGATGTAAAACAGTGTCCCCAGGTAGTACTTGACGGTGTGGAAGAGATACAGCCCGTAGTCGATCGGGGGTAGGTGGCATACTTCCGGTGTCTCGTCCATGGGCAGAGATCGCCATTTCAGGGCAAACGCTGAGGCGTCGACGTTCCATGGGTCCGGGGGACAGTTGGCGTCGGGGACATGCTTGCCTAGCAGGGAGAGCACGCGGCGACAGAAGGACCAGGAAGATGTAGGGCCCATATACCCTATCCTGTGTTAACGCTACTTGCTCAAATCGTGTGGGGGCAGCTCACAGAATCTTCCGTCCGGGGACTGCGCAAATGAGTATTCTACCAGAGGATTTTTCGAAAATGTCGACCGCAGTCCATCTCTTTCTGGTTGGGAATCATGCTCCGATGGGGCTGCCGACAGTGTCAATACGAAGAGTTCAGGAAGGAAGAGACGACCTACGGTTGGCCTCGACATGTGATTGAAAGCCTGAATACCCCTCTTGTTGCTCCAGAAGCGATGGATGCGAAAAGACAAATGAGTCTCCGTCTTCGGTCGAGTTGCGTACATCAGTGTATCGCACAGCTGCAGCCGCACTGTGGCGACGCTCGAGATGACGGAGGTAGCTGCATGCGCGCCATCAGCCACAAATTAAAAGATAGAGTTGTAGCTGCCAGGTCACCTCTCTGGCACCGAGACCCTTGCCTCCTCCACTGCAAAGTGGCAAGGTTTCTTGGTCCGAGCACAGCGCGTACAGGGATTTGTCCCGGAGCACTTGACCTTCATGGAACGACATCGTACGCAGCTTAACTGAATTAGTTCATATCTTCGCCTGACACAATAGCTAGACTCACGCCTTCTGACATTTCTTGTAGACCCTCGATTGCTCTGAATTGCGAAGAGACATGTCGATAAGAACGTATCGGAGGTTGGTTCCGATCAGTAGATGCGCGGAGAGAAAAAGTCGGACGAGGTCGGCGCCTGAGGCCGAGAGCAGATTGCTGACTAATGCATGAGGGCGATGGCTGGTTCTACTACATAAAACAAAACAAGACCAAGAATAACTACGTGGAAAGACACGAGACTAGCTGGAAGATGAACAATAGAACTATACGCTAATTTGACATCTGCTTATCTTTGGGATACCAAGTGCACTGAAGCGCTTATCATACGGAGCCCCGATCTCGGAGCGGTCATCCGAGACCCCGCCGGAGATTCCATCAACATTCACAATTCTGCCACTTCCCTTGATGATTCATTCACCCAACCATCCGATACACAACACCCCAGCACATACACAAAATGGCTCCTCAATCAACACTAGCAATCATCGGATGCGGTACGAGACAGCCCCTCACCCCAACCTATGCACCAAATAAAACTAACCCTGTTGAACAACCAGGAAACATGGGCTCCGCCATCCTAAGCGGGATCCTCGACGCCACGCGCGCCGACCCGACCACCAGCCCATTCGGGCGCATCATCGCCTGCACCAAGACCGAGCAGTCGGCCAGCCGACTGCGCGAGCAGTATGCCCAGGACCGCGCGCGGGTGGAGGTTCGCGCCGACGCGAACCTGGCCACCGTGCGTGAGGCCGACTACGTCATGCTCGGGTGCAAGCCGTACCTGGTCGAGGCGGTTATCGCGGCCGACGGGATGGCCGACGCCCTGGCGGAGAAGTTCATCATCAGCGTGATCGCGGGCAAGACCCCGGCCGTGCTGGCGGGGTATATCACCGAGTATGCCAGTGCCGAGGTCAAGGCGTCTGCGCGGCCGTCCGTGGCGCGGGCGATTCCCAACGTGGCGGCCAGTGTGCGCGAGTCGATGACCGTCGTCGAACTGCCGGCGGAGTGTGCGGCGGCGAATCGCGAGGTGGTGGAGTGGATGTTCGCGCAGCTGGGGCAGGTGAAAGTGGTCGCGCCGGAGCTGTTTGATCTGGGGTCGATGCTGGTCGCTGCGCTGGCCCCGCTGTCTGTCGCGGTGGACGGGATCCTGGATGGCTGCGTGGCGGAGGGGATGCGGCGGGCGGAGGCCTCGGAGATGACGGCGCAGTGTCTGCTGGGGTTGGCGCAGTTGCTCAAGGGTGGGGTCCATCCGGCGGTGCTGCGCGAGAGCATCTCCTCGCCCCGCGGGTGCACGATTCAGAGTCTGTTGACGGTGGAGAAGGCCGGGGTGCGCAGTGCGTTCGCGGAGGCGATTATCAACGGGACGCGGCATTTGCATGACTTACAGAAGAAGCAATAGAGAAGACATAGATCGATCAGATTCAATAGACGTAATACGGATATCATTAGACCGAACATCGTCGGTCTGTAGGCCCTAATCTCATTATGTGATCTGATGGGGCCATATCTAATTGTAGCGTGCAGTGTACTGTATATGATTTTATAGCATCTGCACTGTCCCTGATCCAGCAGACGCATTAGAACTCAAAAACCACGGGTTGAGAAATTCAATTTCCTCATCAAACGCAGTCTCATGCTCCTCACAGGAATCTCCAAACTCAACACTCAAACCAAGCCTTACTCCTACTACCTCAGAGACAATCACCCCAACTCACTGCCACCATATCAACCGCGCCCTACTCCTTATTCAACGGCTCCCGAACCGCCGAAATATACTACCACCACGAATCAGCCACACAATCATCACAACCCCCAACAAAAACCAAGGAAGAACATACCGGGATGACCTGCGCCTTCTCCAAGTCCCACACGCCACTCTTGGCATAAATATCATTGTTGATCAGCTCATGCACCTCCTCCACCGTCTCCCCAGTCACCACGATCATGCTTCCCTTGAAGGAGAGGGGCTTGCCCTCTTCCGGGTGGGAGTCGACCATCGCGCCTGCAGCCAAAGTTCAATACATACAGACCTTAATTCGAGAAGGTATCGCTAGTCGCGCGTGCTGGGTCTACAGGTAACGGGGTAGGGACACACTTACCGCCGACGACCATCTTTCCCGCCTCGATGAGGGGTTTGAGTTCCGCGTAGTGCATTCTATTACCCCGAGTTAGTGGTGGGGCAGAGGAATTGGGGGGCAGGAAGACGTACGGCCGGACTTGCAGGCGGAGGTCGAGGACGTTGGGCTTGTCGGGGAGGATGCAGAGCCATTCTTTCTTCTTGGGGGGAGCGGTGGCTAGGGTGCGGTGGGGGAGGTGGCGATGAAGCAGAGGGGAGGAGAGGGAGGAGAAGGATTTGGTGAGGCGGAGGAGGGACATGTTGGCTTATGGGAGGTATGGGATGGGGAAAGGTTAATGGTTGGAATTGAGGTTATACACTGCTGGTGATATACAGTATAGTATAGAAGTGTGGGTGGGTGGGTGGGATGAAGTGTTGATCAACACCGACGCGTGGGCGAAAAAACGCGGGGAAACAAAACCCGGCCGAGGAAGGAGCTTCCGATTGTCGGAGGCGCGGTCCGATGCGGCGGAGGTACGTGGGTGTGGCTGTCACCATTTTTCCCCTTTTGGCGATATTTTTGGTCTTCAAGAACTAACTTCTGTGATAATTATGTCTGCAATTGCGTTTGGAAACTATAATCGAAAGCCTTTTCCGGGCAATCACTCGTTCTTCTTCACTGATACTGTACGTTTTAATGTTGTCAAGACAGTATGTACTCGGTTTTCTATGAAAATCCATAAGCATAACAACACTGAAAATCTAAACGCCACATCTAATCCCATGGTATCATGAATCTAGTTTCCATCGTCCTCATTCCTCCGCTCCAACTCCCTCAACAGCTCACTCTTCTCCACCTCCGCCCCCCACTTCGTCCGCGGCCGCTCAAACGTCGACGTGATGCGCCCATACGCCACACCCCCCAATTGCGCCACGGGCCTCAACTTCTCCAGATCAATGTGACTGCCCTCCGCATCGAGCGCCCCCTCCTCCACCCAGAACCGCGTCGCCTTGATCAACACCACCGCCGACACACTCATCCCGGGGCTGTGGGCCGCGAACTCCTTGATCTCCAGCACCCGTCCCTCGATCGAGAAGACCGACTCGCGGACGCGCGACGGCGTTACAGTGGCGCTGGGCGCCTCGGTCAGCCCGCTGACCTCCCACTCCGACACGCCGTAGGGGGCGTCGATGGCGGTGGCGTTGACCGCCTCGATCATCCCCTCGGAGACGGTGTTGATGACGCACTCGCCCGTCGCCTGCAGGTTGCGGTACGTGTCCTTGGCGCGGCCCGGCCGCGAGGAAAAGCCCACGACGAACAGCGGCGGGTCGTGGTCGACCACCTGGAAGTAGCTGAAGGGCGCCAGGTTCTTGGTGGTGCCGTCGGCGGAGACGGTGCTCAGGAAGCCCACGGGCCGCGGCGCGATGCCCGACACCAGCAGGCGGTAGTTGTTGATCGCCGGGCGGGAGGCGGCGTACGGATCGATCTCGCGGTGGGTTTTGCCGGCGCTGGCGCCGTTGTCTGGCACGCCTTGGCCGTAGGTCCAGCTGGGGTAGGGGGATTGGGTCACCTCGATTGCCGGGGAGGTGTGGTCGAAGGGTGGGCGGCTGGCTTCGGTTTGTGCGAAGTTGGAGATGTCTTGCACGATTTTGTAGTTGGCTTGCGCCGCTTTGGTGGCTGCTGCTGCTTCTTCACCCGGGGAGGATGAAGGAGCTGGGGCAGAGGGGGTTGCTGCTGCTGCTGCTGCTGCTGCTGAGGAATTCATTCGCAAATGGGTGAAGGGACGAAGGGCTGGCGTCCCAGTGAGGTGCATCGGTCTGGTTGTTTGGTTAGTGGGTGTTATGCTGGGTATCTGGGGACAGGATACTGACCTTGACGTGATGAGTCGACTGACTCTCTTTGCCGCTGTGGCCATTGAGCGGGTTCGTTTGGTGGTGATGATTCACAGAATCCTATCCAGCGGGTAGTGTCACTTGCAACGAAGCCCGCCTGGAAGGGGACCTGGGAAATGCTGCTTAAATTGCGAAATGATTGTTCAAGAAGCCAAGCCAACTGAAAGAGGAATTTCTCCATTTGCCTCCAATTGCCTAGAAACCCGAGTCGGCGGGTGGGGCCGATCCCCCAGCCTTAGGCACCTCCATCGGCACACGGCATCGGGGAAAGACCCCGATGCCGATCGGCTCATCAGTTACTCTAACTTATAGATAAGCAAAGCTAAAGGTTCTGTGCTCTTTTTTTCTGAACTGTGAAAGTGTAATGGACTAACTGAATGCCCAGCTAAACATATAACCCCTTCCACTGCCCAATCTCTGCATACCCACTAGTCAAGTAAAATGTTCCGTCGCGCCATCTCTACCTCCCTTGCCACCACCTCTCGAATGCCCCTCCGAGCGTCTATCCACCCCGGACGCTGCAACAGCAACATGCTCCCTCTCCAAGCGACCCGGGAAAAGACCACGATCTCGAGTATCTACACTGACAAATGCTATGCGCGTGAGTCCGACCACCACACTACTATCCAGCCCTTACATAGCTCAACTATACTAACCGTGTAATCCCAGCCTTCGCCCACTATGTACGTCCCCGGCATAGTCTATCAGGAACAAGCACTGCTAGTTAGTGCCCGTGCTGATCTGCACACAATTGATAAGTCTCAAGCCATCAAAGCCGGTAACCACGTCTGGCTCTCCGGCCAGATCCCGGCCGACGCCCAAGGGAACCTGATCAAGGGGTCTGTGACGGAGAAAACCCAGGCCATCATCCAGAACACGGAGGCTATCCTCCAGGAGGCGGGCTCCGGGCTGGATCGGGTGGCTAAGGTTGTGGTGGGTTGTGGACCTTGAACCCTCCTTCTTTTTTTGGGGGTATACTTTTTATGATGTACCTGTCTGACTGAATATGACAGGTATACGTGACGGATGCAAGCATCATGCCTGAATTCGCCAAGGTGTATGACCCGGCGTTCCCCCATCGGCCGGCCCGTTCGATGGTGGAGGTGTCCAAGTTGCCGGCCGGGGTGGATATTCAGGTGGATTTCTTCGCGGTGGTTTAAGGCGACTTAGAGATCAGCAAGAGTACGTTTCCATGGGATGGGGAGATGAAAGCATTGGGCAGATGGATGGATGAATTATGTGTCTGATGTACTCGGGGAATCATCCTTCGATGGCTATGTAGTATACTTAGCATATATGAAGAGAGGCTTCCCGCCTCAGAACGGCCCTTTGGCGGGTGTGTATGTATCAAGGTAGTTATTTCTCGAGGATAGCCTGGAATCAATCACCCGTCGTTCTCATGCTCCCCAGTATACCAGCGTATACCAAGCATTTGCCCCCTGAAACAAAAAAAAATGAAATGAAACCAAAAGAACAAAGAGATAAAGGAACAAGAACGTATATCCTGAGAGTGACATGACATGTAAGAAAGCTAGAAACACCCTGCCGATGGGCCAAGAACGAGAGCAAAAAGTTCCACTCCAGCATCCGCCAGCTTGTACGCTACGTACTTGTGCTACACGAGTTTACAGCAACAGCAGGTAGGAATTTCTTCATCACATGGCACAGAAAATGCATTGAGTTGCCGATAGGTTTCTCTCTCTTCTATCAACGAACACAGGATATCTATATACCAATATACCATCTAAGAAGGTTCATCCCCATGACTGACCAAAAAGCAAGTGCCATGCATGCCGTAGGCGGAGTCGTTCATAAAAAAACACATTGTTCCCATCACCATTCCCAAGAAAAAGAAAGCAATAGCCAATGCGGAGAATCTTTGTGTTATCAGCAACATAACCAAAATCAAAAAAAGAAAAAGACATCAAACATTGAAGGGGGCTTATTCCACGTGAAAGTGAAAACCCTTCGGGGTAATCGATTGCGAAAATTCCAAAGCAACACGGCCCCGACTATACATGTATACATGTGGGGAGAGGGAGGGGTATCTGGTGATTATTTCTTTTGTTTGTGAGAGAAGCAGGAATCTTCATGTTTAGTAGGTCTCCTTGCGCTCCTGGCTCTCGCCACTGCTGAGGGCCAGCTCGGCCTTCTCGGACTCGTGGGCTACCTGGTGGGAGGGGACGTCCAGACCGACCTCGGCGGACATCTGGGCGATCTGGGCGGGGGTGAGCTTGGGGAGCTCGTTGGCGACCTGGTAGGGCCACTTCTTCTCCATGTGGGCCTTGGCGAAGATGATGTCGATCTCCTCGAGGTCGCGACCGGCGGTCTCGGCGTAGAAGTACCAGGCGAAGGGGATGGCGACGAAGTTGATCAGGGCGAAGAACAGGTAGATACCCCACGAGCTGGAGGAGGAGAAGACGGGCGTGAACATGACAACGGCGAAGTTACAGATCCAGTTGGTGCAGGTCGAGGCGGCGGCAGCCATGGTACGGGTGCGCAGGGGGTTGATCTCGGGGGGGTAGATCCAGGGCAGGGGCAGGGTCGTGAAGGCGAAGAAGACGATGAAGAGGAAGATACCCACGACCGCACCCTTGGAGTTGGACGTGGTGTCGTCGATCAGGCAGCCCATGGTGATGATGAAACTCAAGCCCTGGCCCAAGAAACCGATGAGGAACAGGTTGCGGCGACCGACCTTCTCGATCATGAAGAAGGAGGGGATGGTGGCCAGCGCGTAGACGGTGGCGAAGACACCACCCAGCACCAGGGAGAGACGGTGCTCCATCTGCAGGTTGGTCTCGAACAGCAGGGTCGAGTAGTAGATGGCAGCATTGCAACCAGTGAACTGCTGGAAGAACTGGCCCGAGCATCCGATCATCATGCGCTGGAACTCCTGGGTCTTGCCGAAGGTGAACAGTGTCTTGAAGCTGGCCTTGTTGTCCTGGGTGGCCTTGAGATCCGCCTTCATGAGGTTGTAGTCCGCCAAGACCTCGTCGGAGTCGGGGGAGAGGTCGTTCAGCGCGGCCAACACCTCGCGCGCCTCCTGGTCGTGACCGCGCATGACGAACCAGCGAGGGGACTCGGGGAGCATCAGGGCACCGACGGTGACCAGCACGGCGAAGATGATCTGGAAGGCAACAGGGAAGCGCCACTGCACCGAGGTGTCGACATACGAGAGACCGAAATCGAGCCAGTAGGCGACGAAAGTACCGACGGCGATGATGGCACCCTCGAAGCAGACCAGGAAACCACGGTTGTGGGCTTTCGAGCATTCCGACTGCCAGACGGGGATGGTGGCAGTGTCCATGCCGTTACCCAGGCCCGAGATGACACGACCCACGACGAACTGGCCCAGACCCCATTTGTCTCCGTAGGAGGCAGTGGAGATGACCGCGCCAACAGTCATGATGACACCACCCGCAACCAACAGAGGAGTCCGACCAATGCGCTCACCGAAGCAGAGAGTGAAGATGGCACCGAAGAAACAACCGATCTCGTAGCAGGCGGTGACAGCACCACGAAGGACAGAGACGTGGTTCTCATCCTTGCCAGCGCCGGTAGCCAGGGCAGGAAACTCAGACGTAAACTGATCACCCGAGATGATACCGGACATCAGACCCTGATCATAACCGAAAAGTGAGAAACCGAGGACGGAGACGATGGTGATGGCCAAGCGGAGCTTGCGGCCCCGCAAGCCACATGTTGTTGTCCACATGTTGACTTAAGGCGATCGATCTTCTTCTTTCAGAACGGATACCAATCGATGATGAAGAATGTTGGTATGCGTGACAGGTGAAAGAAAGGGAGAGAAGGGGAAAGGAGGGGGGGGGGGAAAGGTGGAGAGAGGTAAGGGATGGAGGTTTGACAAGAAGGAAGGGATCTCCCAACCAGGGCAAGGACAGCAGCAGCAGGGTTTATGTATGTTTCGCGATGCTACAGAAATGCTAGAAATGCTCGAAATGCTCAAAATGCTCGAAATGCTTGCTAATGCCGAGAGAACATAAGACTTAGTCGGAAAGTGGTATAGGGCATGTGTCGCGAGCCGCCAAGGGGGCCAAGAGGGCCAAGAGGGTTTAGAGGGGGACCACTGGGGCCATTCACACCTTTTCAACACCAATAAGATCTTTTGGGGCCCCGCGAAAAAAAAGCTCAGTTCGGGGTTCACGGCGCCATTGACGTCAGGGATTCAAACGCGACGCTACGCTGGTTGCGACTGTGCCGCTTGGCACTCGTCTGTGGTTCAGGGCACTGACTGCTCCCGGAAAGAGTAAGATTGCCGACCTTCAGGCTCTCTCTCCAGGTCACGGTTATTGATGAACTTCATGGGGGATTGATGATTGAGTTCCTACTCCCTGCTGATGCGGGGAGGGGAATGTGGAACATTGTTAACCGATCCAGTCACCCATCAGTCAATCAAGATCGAGTCATCTCTCTCGCCAGCAGGGATGACAGCAGTCATCTCCCACATGGCCACGCCTCCCCTCCTTGCCTCCCTCCCTCGCTCTCTCTCTCCATGCGGAGAGATAGCACATGGAGGGAGGGTCGGATTAAACCGGCGTGAGTGGTGGGAAACAGACCACTTGGCCAAGGGACTGAGGATCCACCCCATATGCACCAGGTGAGGATCTTCCCCTCTCTTTGCCCTAACGGGAACCCATTCCCTTCCCCTCCCCCCCATCTTCTGCCATCTCCGTGCTCACCATGTCGAGTCAGTCCATTCAACGACGGTAAAATTCCGAGCGATAATTTCGTGGGCCAAGGGATGCCACTGCCCCGGCCGAGATTACTCGAGTACAATCCTTCGATTCGTTTCAGTTACCGTTCTTGCTTGGTGCTGGCGCTGTTTTAACCGCCGAAACCCGGGTTGCCGCGCCGGGAAGCCAAAGCTTCCTGGCTGACGCCCCGGAAGCCGTCGATCCCAATCACATGAAACCTGAACAGCCAAGCCGGGGAAGGGTAGGCACAGTAAGCAAGCATGAGGACAGTTACGAGTGAGTTAAGCTGGAGAAAAGAAATGGTGACACTAAGTAGTAAGTATAACTAGTAGTAATATTTGCTCATCAAGTGCAGTGAGCAGTAACACCAGCCAGAAAGGGTCCAGTGGGCAAGCAAGGGACTTCGGTAGCTACCATGGGTATTAGCCGAGATCGAGAAAATTCTGAGCAACCCTACAGATGGGGACTTGATTGATGGGGGGAGAGGAGGGAGAGTCGGATGGGGGACCAACAAAATAGGGCAGTCGGTTTATTAGGCATCCGTTGTTGGCGGACCCCATACCCCATACCGAAATTTTTGCGGGTCCGGGGGGACTTTTGGGTGAGGGACGGACGGAGAGGTCCGACCTTTCTTTCCCCTCACTATTCTTTTTCCTTTGCATCTGACTCGGAATTCCCACACTCCCACTCCCTTCACAGTGAGGCTGCAACTAAAGCCGACAACACCGCCGTGACCGCCGCCCGTATCTCCCACCCTCAGCGCCTCTCCTCATTTTACCGTGTTAACCCTCGAGATACCTGCCGCAACCGAGTTTCCCCTCTACACTGGAACCTATGTTCATTCGTGGGAATCTCCTCCAAAAGTGGGTTTTCTTACTAAAAAGTGGATCGGCGTAGTATTTGGTCAGAATGGGTTAGCGTGGGGTGGCCTGAAAAGAAAAAAAACTCTGCGCCCGAAAAAAGGGCAAAAAAGGCAGAAGAAGAAGAGAATGAGCCAATGAAATGCCTTCCAGCAGGTGCTGCTAAGGTACGGTCGTATTGCCAATCAGCCTGGAGCACATGCCCTAACCCGGTAGTCGTCCAGGTGCAAAAAGCACGTGTGTTTCGGAGTTACTATGTCCACCAACCCATGAATCCGGGATAGCTTCAATTCAAATCCAGGAAAAAGTCGATCTCTCTCCTGTTCTGACTCCAGTTTCCCACCGTTCATGTAGGTATAGCTGCACGCCAGAAACGTGCGCCAAGGGGTTGGTCCCGATCGCGAAGAGCACCGAGAGAGAAGAAGAAGAAGAAGAAGAAGAGAGGACAGGGCGATGAGCCGCACCGTGGTCATCGCTTCAAGCCACTGCCGTTCCGTCTGAGACTCCACTAAATCTTACTTAGTACTCTCTGACCGCCTGCTGGGCCTGCTGGGCCACTTGCTAGTTTGGTGCATGACTAATGGATGAGACTTGGCACGTCCGCTGACTCAGCTGACTCACCTCTCTCGCAAATGGCTGCTCCTCCGATACTGTACGGGATATCCTCGGCAGGAGCAGGTCCGATGCTTCTCCATTCCTTTCTCACCTTCAAGCCACTGTCTGTTGGCGAATTTACTCTCAATCAAAGACAGTGAGACTGAGACCGCGAAATTGCACTCCGCACTACGTACTGAGTCCTCAGGCGCAGGTGCAGGTGCACAAGGGCGGTGTGAGCACCCGCGGTGCGGGTGGGGTGGATCTCAATCTCACCAGATCATCCATCGGCCATCCCATCCTAACGGTTACCTTCCGCAAGCAGTAACATCCCCGACAGGAATTCAACCATCGAAAGCACTCTGCTCCGATGGAACACGCCGTGCACAACCACTTCAAAAAAAAAAAAAAAACTTTAGTACATAGTAGTTGTAGCACTAGTTTTGCAAGCGAATCGACCCTCAACCCAGATCCCACCCATGACGTACGCTTCCAACGTATACACGATCTGTCCACGTACGTATACGAACATAAGTTAGTACTTGGTACTATAACGCCCTCGTCGCTACCAAGCTCCATCGCGGCTGGGCGGGTATCCAAGCGCGGTGGTATGATCCTGGAGCTCCCCGTCGGCAAACCTTGATTGGATCAAGGCACGGTAGTACACAAACCAAGCAGCGAGTCTTGAGCTTCGGGATACAATAGACTTTTGTCAAAGAATAATAGGAGAAAAAAAAAAAAAAAGAGGCAGACGTCAGCGGTGGGATGGCAAGCCGTCGGGTGTGAAACCTCGTTGCTGGGCTGACGCATTAAAAATCTATATCACTTTCGTGCTGCCGCGATTTGTGCGTATCGCGCGCTCTCCGGCTGAAGTAAAATAGAGTTTTTAGATGTTGGCTCTTGTGAACTATATCTACGCCACTGATTGTATGGTCGCAGATCGAGGAGCAGGATAAACTGTTGCTGACACCAGAGGATTGGGCGCACAGGCGAGCTGGTGCTCGGCAGAGCGACGGAGACAGTACATCCAAAGCAGAGTGACGAGTGCGGCGGTTGCGCATCAGCGCGGGCCATTCACGGGCGGTGTATTCCCTGCTGCTGGGTGCTTGGCAGGGACGTCATTTTTCGATGTCGAAGATCGGACTTCAAAGCAAAGTCGACGTCGACTTAGATGGGCTCTAGATGTATGTGCGTGGTGTATGAAGTACTGTAGTCTGTATATGGGCACTTTGGTTGTTGATGCCATGTGAAGATGATTTGGTAGCGGGTGGTCTGGTTGACAGGAGTTTCACACCGCCTTGTTTCTTAGCCTGATCTGCCAGCAGAAGCATTTTAGCTACCAGGCGGTAAAGACCTTCCGATTACTCTCCCTGGCCGAGTAAACCACTTCAAACTTGCTAGAGCTTCAACAATCCTCGAGTAATCAGTTTTGTTTAAGAACTTTGGCTATTGAAAAGACCCGTCATACTTGAATGTGGCTATTCAAGCCACATTTGATTTTCTTGATTTTCGGACGAGAGGTGAAATCCATGGCAACTTGTTGTCGGTTCGCTGGCCGGGTAGTGTTTACTTTTACTTTGTTCGAGTGTTTGTGCCATGCTACAAAACTATCATTTGTTTCACAGAGTCATTAATCGTGCTTGCAACTTACCAGACTAACAGATCAGGCCTGAGTCTGAAGTGCAGCCTGATAGAACTTCACATGGAGAAATGTACACACCCTACGGGTAGCCAGCCAGCCAAGGATGTATGTTTGTTGACACCTGCGACTGTGTTGCCGATGTCTCTTCCACAGCGCCAGTCAATTTACCTATCTAGTCACAACTCTGGGAGAACGCGAAAATTTTCTCTTCTGACCGAGGAACAAGGATCAACAAGCTACATCTCCCAGTCCAGCCTCAGTTCCACTGCCCTCTCCAGCCAGGATGATCCGGGGTATCCCCAGAACTGTTGCCCGAACGGGCCAATCCGACGCCCGGGAATCACCTTAACCTGCCAGGCGATGTCAAGAGCCTTGCTCCAAACGAGCTGGATGTACTTTATCACTTTATTGTCGGCGTTGTCGAACCCTGAGACGCGAACCAGCCAATCAAGCTTTATGCGGTCCGAGATGACCAGTAAGCACTGTACTATGTAGGTTCGTTTCCACGGCCGAGACTTCAAGGGTGTAGTCAGCCACCATAACTTAGTATATAAAAGTCAAACACCTCGTTACACTGCTAATTCCAGATTTCCTTCTTTCTTGAAGATTCCAGTGTCAGTTCTAGGCGATTGTCACACAAGCTCTCTTTCCGCCGCAGATACAACTTGACCAAGCCCCGCGACCACCGTCATCACAACCTCCCCCCTCCTCCCCCCCTCCCCTCCAGCCCTTATCCAACAGAGCCACCCTCAAAATGAACCCCTTCATCCAGACCCTCTACAGCTACCCCCCCCCCCCACCCCGCCACCGCACCCAACCCATCCGCATCCTATGCGTGGGGCTCCCCCGCTCCGGCACAGAAAGCCTCAGCCTCGCCCTGACCCAACTAGGCTACAAGCCCTTCCACGGCTGGGACCTCGTCTTCGACACGGCCGCCCACCTCCAGGCGTGGGCGCAGCTCGCCGAGCGCAAGTACGCGCCCTCCGCGACCACTCCGCGAGACGACCCGATCACGCGGGCGGACTTCGACGCCCTCCTCCCCGGCGACTGCGACGTGGTCCTCGACTCGGCCGCCGCCCTCTTCACGCCCGAGATCCTGCAGGCCTACCCGGACGCCAAGGTCGTCCTCAACACGCGCCGCGACGTGGCCGCGTGGCAGCGCAGCGCCCGGCAGGCGTTCGTGACGGACGGCGCCGCGCACTGGGGTCTCTGGGTGTTGCATCTGTTCAGTGCGGAGGTGTTTTGGCTGTGGCGGTTGTATTATGCCGTCGGGTATCCGGGGTTGTTTGGGGCGAGGACGGTGGAGGAGGGGGTCGTGGGCAAGGGGAGACGGGTGTATCGCGAGCATGGGTGGATGGTTAAGGGGTTGGTGCCTTCGGAAAATTTGTTGGAGTGGAATGTTGAGGATGGGTGGGGGCCTTTGTGTGAGGTTTGTGGATCTTTCTTTCTTTCTTTCTTTGTCATGAGGGAATTTGGGTGTGCTTTGTGGTTGGGGTTGGGTTGGTGCTGACGAGGTATAGTTTCTGAAGAAGGAGGTCCCGCACGAACCGTTCCCCAAGGCGAATACTGGGGAAGGGTTTCGGAATCGAGTTGAGAAGAGAGTGGGGCCCTGGCGGCGGACGGCGTTGATCAATTTCGCCCTCACGGTCACTTCGGCCGGGGTGCTGGGGACGGCGGTGGTGGTCGGGGCGAGGAAGGGGGGCTGGTGGTGGCCTGCTGTCAGGGAGATTCCGGGGTGGATTGGGGCGCGGTGGCTTTAAAGGAGTGGAATTGATAAGGTGGAAGTGTATACGGTCTGTGGAAAGAGGATAAATCTATAATGATGGTTTGCATTTCTACGATGCAGTATACCTACATTTTGTCGTCGGTGTAGCGGGAGGGCGGGATTATAAGAATCATGCATTTTCGGTCAGAAATACAGTCAATCGTATTATGCTAAGCCCACGCTATGTATGTGTACAACAAGGAAACAAGCCCAAAAGTAATCTCACAAGCGAAACCACAACCACCTAACCAAACACCAACGCGCGCACCTCAATACTCTCCCGGGGCTTCGCATCGGCCGGGGAGCGGGGATGCACGAAGGCGGCATGGGGCACGCGGGCTACGGCGCCCGGCTGATTGTCGGAGCACTGCAGCAGGATGCGCTCGTCGTCGGCGACGTGCGACCAGTACCGCCAGTTCTGGGAGGGCTGGTACTGGACGCTCATGGTCTCGCCGGTGAAGGTGGGGTAGCGGCGCTGGACGGGGATGAGATCCGCGGGGTCGGTGGAGCTGCCGCTGGCGAAGGCGAGGGGCAGCGACTCAACCCGCCCGTTGATCGGCCGCCAGACGTTGATGATGCGGAACCGGCCCTGCGCCAGCCTCTCCGCCTCCGCCGGGTCCGCGATGCTCCGCCGCACGCGCGCCTCCGCCGCCGCCGCGGTCTGGTCCACGTGCGCGTACGTCACCGGCTGCCGCGAGGCGCTCGGGTCATGCTTGCGCACCGTGTGGTCGAAGATGACCACCCGTCGCGCGCCGGGGACGTGCTCGAGCAGCAATCGCTCGGTTTCCGGGTAGTAGATCTCGCGGATCGCCTCGTCCGAGTCGAATTGCGCGTAGCTCATGGCCGAGGGGACCCCCCGGAAGACTTGGAAGGCGTCCTTGGCGAGGGAGTACTCCTCCTCGTGGCCGCGGATGTCGGTCAGAGGGACCTGCTGGGTGGTCTGCGAGAAGTTCTGTTGCGGTTGGCCGGCTGGAGGCTGCTCCACGTAGACGAAGGGCGCGGAGCCGTCGGCGGGGGCGCGGTAGAAGTTGATCTCCGCCGTGACGTCGCCTTGTGCTGTCATTTTCAATGGCTTTGGTATGGGGTGTGATTAGACCGAGTGTGCTTGAAACGAGTACGTTCGAATTGAGTGTGGTGCTGAGGGATAGATTAGATTGTTGTGTTGATGTGATGTGGTGGTATATAAAGACAGCCGGCAACGGGCGCGATGACGCCACCGGCATTGAGGATTAACAATCAATCGCCGAGCAATCCCCGGCACACAACATGTATGTGATCACATAATCATCAAGCTGTGAAGCGCGTAAGGAATAATTGCTGCCTTCAGCTTACATACCGTACATAGCAGTTGTCTCAATCCTGGCATTCCTCCAATCATCGTATGTGGCGAGAAGGGTTGGTAATCCAGAGGCTGACATATGCAGTGCCCGATTCCATTCGCCGACCTTCAGCATCACGCAATGGCGATTAATCAGCCGTCGAGATCCCTGCATCTTATCAGATCCGGGATTTGAAGATCAGCCATGATGTTTAAGCTGGCTACTTTGATGTAGGGATGGTTGGTTTAATACAAAGTGCTACTTTACCGTAGTCATGCAGTCGTACACGAATTTAGGATGCAAAGTATTTAACCAACTGATTCAGCTGAGAATCCAGCTCTCACAGGACCTTCTCGGGCTTGTTCCTTGTCTTGAGCGAGGAACGATTCATCACTGAATGGAGGACATACATGAAGCATATACAATCTCAGGAAATAAGACTCATAATTCAAAGTCAGATATAGTATCCACTTCAACCTCATCGCACCAAACCCCACCCACCCTCTATTCCTTTCGCCCCTCTGCATTCCGCGCAATCAACTCCTCATACTCTCGAATATTACTCACCCCCTTGGGCATCCCATTCGGCTGCAACCCCTGCTCATCCATCAGGCGATCCCGCCGCTCGATGCACGTCCGCCAGGCCGGCCGCGCCTCCATCCGCCGCTGCCACGCCTGCACATTGGGCCACGCCGCCAGATCCTGCTCGGCCTCCGGGAGCAGGTAATTCAGCCGCCCGTTCCACGGTACGAACGTCAGGTCCGCGAACGTCAGCTTGTCCCCCACGAGCCAGGTTTTGTCCGCGAGGACCGTGTCCAGCACCCCCAGGATGCGGCGGACTTCGGTGACGTAGCGGTCGATCACGCTGGGGAGTTTTTCGGGGTGGAGGACGGTGAACCTTTTACTTCTGTGTTAGTCTTTTTAGGTCTTGGGTGTGCGAGAGAGATGGAAGGGTGGGTTGAGGGTCAGGGCAGAGGGCATACCACGCCGCCTGGCCGAAGTACGGGCCCTGTCCGCTCATCTGGAAATGGAGGTATTGGTTGCAGAGGTGGCGCTCGGGGAGACTGGGGAAGCTGAGTTTGTGGTCGGTGTCGTAGACGTCGATCAAGTATTGGATGATGGCGCCGGATTCCCAGAGAGTCAGGTTTGTGTTGGGGTCGACGATTGCTGTTTTTGTGGTTAGTGGTGGCTTAGGGCTTGTGGTTGAGGATGTTTGGGGGCTGATAAGATAAGAGCCTAGGCGTGGTTGGGTGGGCTTACCTGGGGCGCGGCCGTTGGGGTTGATGTTGATGAAGGGTGGGTTTTTCACATCGTCGAACTTGAAGGATTGGATCTCGTAGGGGACTTGAAGTTCTTCGAGGATGAGGACGACCTGTTAAATGGAGGAGGATGTCAATGCTTGATGGTGTCTTGGGATTGGTGTTGGTGGTGGCTGACCTTCCAGGGATTAGGACCGGGAGCTGGGATTGAATGTTAGCTTTTGGGGATGGGTGAATGGGCAGTGTGTGTAATAGAGACGTACGTGTCATCCAGACGGTGATGGGCTTGGTCATGGTGTATGCTTGAATGTTGAGGAAAAGTTGTGTGAGGAAATCTAGAAAGAGGACAGACGTGTGATGCGGACACGGCTTATATAGCTTTCCCTTCGCTCCAAGTGGTAGGCACTTTGCTAAGCATAAGTTGCTGCTCCAAGAGGGTTCGAAGCTAAATCTCTGGCTATAACTATATCTGGAGACAATGACACTTGTAAAGTCATCTACAACATGAGGCTGAATTGAAATGCAGCCATAGCGAAGCCCAATTGGGCAAGGTCTGGCGAGTGGAGTTGTTTTCTACACGGCCAGGCCAGTCAAGTGCGGAGACACGGCGGGGCCTGGCGGGGCTGGCACTTAAAGGGAGCATGAGCGGGATTCAACCCAACTTGATGTCTCGTTGGTCAGATTCCATATCAGAACTTGAGGACTACCACAACATACTCGAGTGATCAATTGTGCTAGATAAAGCCTGTGTCCTGCAAACTTTGACTTTCAAGGGCCTGCTAGCAGAAAGCAAGTTAATAAGCCTAGATCGCAATCCAAAGAACAGCAACCCAGGCACCCTCTGCGCCATAGCTAACACACACCACACAATGTCCCTCATTACCGATAACCTCCTCCTAAAACTGTGGGAGCTGGTCCAAACACAGCAGTCCGACGAGCGAGCATCAGCAAAGCTCTGGAACCATCTGTGCAGCAAGCACTTCTTCCCAGAAAAGGACTAAGTGGTGTCGCAGGGACCTCGTCGTCAGGACAGCAGTGGCCGTCGGGGCGTGGACTTTACCGTCGACTATATGCGCGAGGGGAACAGTCTCGCGGTGCTCGTTTTTCACGGGGCCGAAGCATCGGACAGAAGCCCTTGAGCTGTCGAGGGAGCGGAGGCTCGAGCGTACGATGCTTGTGTGAGGTGTTTGGAGACCCACCCCGAACGGGAATATGTGTACGCGTTCACGACATTTGGGACCAGAGGTCGAGCATGGCGGTGCGGTCGCGGGGAAGATTTTTTGACTGCTCTATTCGGGTCCCAGGGCTTGGGTGAGTCCGACCAGTACATTGAGGTGCATTCCCCGGAGGCTCGGCGGATCAGTCAAGCTGTGCGAATGATGAAGGCTGCGTTACCAGATTATTGAGGATATAGAAGGGCGGTGTAGCACTTCCTTGTATTCATCAAACTCATCAACTCGATAGGAATATACAGAGTGTTTTGAATAGTTACAAACGATTGTTGCATGGAGAGTCCGGTCCCCTCATCAATCATATATGGCGATCTGATCACCACCATAATAAAACCACCAGACAATAGTGCCAGTTAGGGGCAACGCTCGCCAACCCTCTGTGCCAGAATCTACCCCAGGTTCCTGCGCACTACGAATGCTCTTGACACAATCTCGTCCATCAACAGCACCCGTTTCAACGTACGCAGGCATCAGAACTTCTTCACTGAAGCCGTACTCCCACCGCACCTGTCCGAGTGACTCGATATGTTCGTCGTCATAGACAAGCAGTAGACCTGAAACTGGATGATGTGGTTGCTCCGGATCCCTGCAGACCTGCACTTTGACTAGCCCCTGGAGGGGTGCCTTGGTCATGAACCAATTTTGCTTTGACAGGCCTAGGCGGCCATCGAGATCTCTCGGAGGCTCCAGGCGAGGTCCCTCCGGCTGCGGATCCAGAGCCTTACCACCCTCTTTGAACGAGTCACTGCACGTTACCCCGACTGCGGTAATATGTACGCGAGCGGGGTCGAGTCCATCGTGAAAGACACCATTGATCGGGCCGTCGCTCTCCTTGACCAGCGGAACGCATTTGAATGGTTCTTCCATGAAGTGTGGAGTGGGAGGTGCGAAGGTAATGGTTCTTCCTAGAGAGGTTTGAAGCTGTGCGCAGGTGAGTTATCATTACGAGGTTAAAGAAAAGGGGGTTCAGGTGGGGCTCACCACTAAGCCAAACTCCCTAGCTCTAAGACAATATCTGCGCGTCCAAGCGGCTGTGATGGTTTCTTGCTGGTTCAACGGAAAGTAGATCCAGACTTTCCGGCCCGTGTTGTTGCGCCAGTGCATCAGTTCGAGGAACTCTTTGAAACGAGTCGCTGTGTCCGAGAATCCGTGGAAACCCATCATCCCGTGGTCGGTGCAACAGGCCAGAAGGCCTTTGACGTTGGCGTCGAATGCAACGTAGTCCAACCGAGGGTTCTTGCGGAGGCTATGCGCGTTCCACGGCTGGAATGCCGGGGGTACTGGGGTGCTCCAACGCCACTTGGCGGAGGATGAACCGTCGGAGACGAGTGCGATGTCCTGCACAAACAGGTCCTGGACATGACACATCAGCCCTGACAACAGCACTGAGCAGGGTTACCCCAGAAACCCCCATACATTACACTCCACTTTGATGTTCACGGCAGGAGCCCGCGGCCGGAGGACCTTGTACCACGAGGACTCGTCGGAATCTGGCACCGAGTCCTTGTCTATAAACTGGATGCCGCGCAAGCCGAACGCGTCCAGCGACAAGACAATGCTGTTCATCGCCAGGGGGATCTTGAGGTGGTGTACACGCGAAGTAGCCGTAGCCTCCAGCGGCGCGGTACTGAGCTGGGTCACGTACGGAATGCCTCGGCAGTGGATGCGCCGCATCCAGACATCGTGCTGGAGCGTGAGCTGCTTCGGCTGGGGTGCACGGCGTTTCCACTCCTCCAGCAATCGACGGCCCTCGCCCAGAACGGTCAGATACCAGCACGGTGCTGTGAGCTCCGCGACCAAAGCCTTGAGTTCCATCGGGAGCCGCATGAATAAGTCTAGTACGGAATCTGGCTGGGTCAATCTCCCTGTCGACGCTCTACGCAACCCTTCCAAGATTGATGAGATCTCTCCGCGTCTATCCCTTCGGACTTGATAGGCTGGTTTGATGGCACACATGTACTTCATCATTTCGGGCTGCGTAGGCCTCTTCGCTGGCTCGTAGGTGTATATCAAAGTGTCGTAGCATCGTTTGTGGAACCAAAGCCCAGGATTCGGTGTGTACAAGCAGCTCTGGCACGAGACTGAACAGTCTGGAGCTGTGCGCAGGATGTGATGTACATCTATGCATGATACAATTAGAGAATCAAGAGAGAGAGCAAAATAGAGAAAAAAATTAGAGACTAGGTGTGTACAGTACCAAGAAACTGCTCTCCGGCAGTTGGAGCTTGTCGACATAGCAAACATGCGGTTCTTCCAAGGTGAATGTTGGTAGCAGAGTCTCTGAGACCACGAAGACTCTGGGTCCGCGGATGATACTCCATCGGTGGAGATGTAGCCATGGACCTTTATTGCCACAATACGGTGACTGATAGTCGCAGTGGGAAATGTACAGAATGTCGATGGCACGAGAGCATGTATAAACAACCACGGAGTTAAGATCAACACAGAAGGCCGGCTTTCCGGAATTAAGACAGTCACGTGCCATAGCCAGGGGTTGGTGACTCACTCACCGCCTTCTATCGCCCTTGCAGAGTTTATTGACTACATTGTACGGAGTAGCAGATCATCATCTTGTGGATGTTGGTGATAGGAGCTGCAGTGAGATCTGCCAAAAGTAAAAGGATCAAGGCTGCTGGGGCTTGCTTACAGTGAAGTATGTGCGAGCATCAGTTGCCGACTAACAAGGAACAATCTATTTGCACGTACCGAGTTCAGGTCCCAGCAGCGAGATCTAGATCATCTCGACAGTCTACCAATTCCAATCCGGGGCCGATGTCGCAGCACACATGAGTCATCTAAGTTCTTCCTACCTAGCAGTCAGAGTATTGATCCGGATCGATTATTCAGTCTAGATGTGTAGTGTTAGAGGATTTTGCAAAACTGGGCATGCCCGGATAACCAGTTCTAACGCACTAAACCTATTTCATTACATTACAGCTGGGCAGGACTTCAGCATAGGGCATGCCCACTTCATTCTGCACTAGTAGTTTGCCCTTGATATACGATCTGGCCGAGAGTTAGCCAGGAACACAAAGTAACGTTAAGTGACTCATCGGCTCCTTCCCCGAACTGGATTGTGGTGCGACCCGCCTGTCAATCTAGATCCAGACAACTACTTATTGTCTTCTTGTTTGCACCGTTCGCTGCTTTCTCCCTTACTACAACAGCCTCTCCAGTCCACTTCTGCCAGCATCATCGGATTTCCGATCGACTTGGATCATGCATAAAATTCGACATATTTCTCGGGCTCCCAATGCCCTCTCCAGAGGTTCAACAAAACATGCTGTCGCCAGCCACTTCGTTTCGATGCGAAGTACACCCACTATCCGGGGCACAGCTTCTGCTGCGACGCAGTTGAAACACAACGAGGCGGTACCGGAGAGACAGATCTTGCCAGCAGCAGGCATCTCACGCCCGGCCATGGACAAATCGTGGGTGACTCTTGGATTGGCTCTTCCCCGTCCTTACCACTAAAACACAGCAGATTCATTGGAATGACCGGAGGCGAGATCTTCCACGAGATGATGCAGCGTCACAACGTCAAACACATCTGTATGTGCATATGCCCCAAACCCACCTGCCTGAGGCCCTTACTGACAATTCGGTCGACGACTGCAGTTGGATACCCCGGTGGAGCCATCCTGCCTGTCTTCGACGCCATCTACAACTCGAAAAAGGTCGATTTCGTCCTCCCAAAACACGAACAAGGTGCCGGACACATGGCCGAAGGATATGCCCGAGCGTCCGGAAAACCGGGGATCGTGCTGGTGACCTCCGGCCCGGGGGCCACGAACGTCGTGACCCCGATGCAGGACGCGCTTTGTGACGGCACGCCCATGATTGTCTTCTGCGGGCAGGTTGCGACCTCGTTGATTGGCAGTGACGGGTTCCAGGAGGCGGATATGCTGGGCATCTCGCGCTCATGCACGAAATGGAACGTCATGGTGCGCCATGTCTCGGAACTGCCGCAGCGCATCAATGAGGCGTTTCAGATTGCGACAAGTGGGCGACCCGGTCCCGTGCTGGTTGATCTTCCTAAGGATGTCACGGCTGCGGTCCTAAGGAAGGCGATCCCGACCGCGTCGGCGCTGCCGGTCGTTCCGACTGTTGGTGACAGTGTCAAGGCGGTGCCCCAGAAATCAATCGCTCGGGTGGCTGAGTTGATCAACACTGCCAAAAGGCCCGTCATCTACGCGGGCCAAGGTGTGGTCAACTCGCCGGATGCTCCGCGATTGCTCAGAGAGCTTGCGGAAAAGTCCTCAATCCCGGTAACTACCACTCTGCAGGGACTCGGTGGGTTCGATGAACTGGATGAGAAGTCCCTGCATATGGTGGGAATGCACGGATCCGGCTACGCGAACATGGCGATGCAGGAAGCGGATCTAATTATCGCGCTGGGAGCTCGATTCGACGATCGGGTCACGATGAATATCAAGAAGTTCGCCCCCGCGGCACGAGCGGCGGCGGCGGCGGGCGTCGGCGGGATCGTGCATTTCGACATCCTGCCGAAGAATATCAACAAGGTTGTCCAAGCGACCGAGGCGGTTGTGGGCGATGTTGCCGAGAGCCTTGCGGCTGTGCTTCCCCAAGTTAAACAGAAGGACATGGCCCATTCCGATCGTCGGTCGTGGTTTGGGAAGATTATGGAGTGGAAGAAGCGCTGGCCGCTGAACGTGTACGATCGGTCGGGACGGTCGCATCTGATCCAACCTCAAGCAATGATCGAAGAACTCAGTAGACTGACTGCCGATCGCAAGCAGGAAACCATCATTACCACAGGAATTGGACAACATCAGATGTGGACGGCACAGCAGTTCCGCTGGCGGTATCCGCGCACGATGATTACTTCGGGCGGATTGGGGACGATGGGCTTTGGCTTGCCCGCTGCTATCGGAGCGAAGGTGGCGAGGCCCGATGCATTGGTCATCGACATAGATGGCGATGCCTCGTTCGGAATGACTTTGACTGAATTGAGTACCGCTGCGCAATTCAATATCGGGGTGAAGGTGATTGTGCTCAACAATGAGGAACAAGGCATGGTGACTCAGTGGCAGAACCTCTTCTATGAAGATAGATATGCCCACACGCATATCCGAAATCCGGACTTCATGAAACTGGCCAAGGCAATGCACGTCCAGCAACGGCGTGCTACCAAGCCGGAGGAAGTGTCGGAGGCCCTGAAATGGCTGATCAACACGGATGGTCCTGCTCTGCTGGAAGTTGTGACCGACAAAAAAGTCCCGGTGCTGCCGATGGTTCCTGCTGGATCAGGACTACATGAATTCATTGCATGGGATGCTGAAACGGACAAGAAGAGGAGAGCTTTGATGCGTGAGCGGACGTGCGGTCTTCATGGGGCATGAATATGCATCACTTGTAATTAGAACTTGATCAAAAGTATTGCGCCGTTTCATTCCGCGGTACTCATGTGGTATCTGACTCTACAACCTTAAGACCTTGCCAGACATACTACAAACCATCGAGTGGTCTCCAGACATACTACAAACCATCGAGTGGTCTCCAGACTTTCGTCCACCGCTTATTCACCATTAGCGAAGTCGTCGCACGTGGCAGGAAGAAAGGGAACTCACCTGATCGTACGCCTGATTCGCATCCACGAACCTCAAATCCGTGGCCAAACGAATCCTTCTCTCAGGATCCTTTATTCTTGCAACTTGCATGCACTAGAAACGGATCATGAAAGATGACATCTCCGTCCTCATACTCCGTGATTAACCACTTCCGATCCTCTCCCTTGCCGTAGGCGACCGTATCGCGACTCAGAAAGCCGCCATCGTTCATGTTCTCATTGAACGCCGACACACGTTCCTCATCGGTTAAACTCCCCGCATTTCGACCGAACTTGGCCTCCGTTCTATGCCCAAAATCCGTCGACTTCTCCGAGTACATCAGCCCGCCAGCCTCCAGCGAGACATCCCCGATCGGCACCCACGCCGTCAGACTGGTGGGCGGACCAGCACGAAGATACATCTGATCAAAGTGTACGGGGGTCAGCTCGCTGTCGGGCACAAAAGCGCGGAGCATCGTGCGCTGCAGCATGGTGATGTCCCGCCAGCCGGTGAACTTCCGGATGAAGGCGCGAAGTTCCTCGGTCGTGCAGAAGTCGAGGTAGAAGGGTGCCTCGTGGGCGCTGATTATCAGCTCCAGGTATTGGTCGGACTCTGCGTCGTTCTGGAGACCGAAGAGTCGTCGGAGGTTTCCTGGGGGAAGGAACTTCCGGGTGTCCTTGTCGCTGAAGATGCCCTCCACGGGGTCTGAGCCGTCCCTGAGGAGGCCGGAGGGGGCCATATGGGAGAAGTAGCGGCGACGGCAGTCGAGGACTCTATCTTTGGGGAGGAGAGGTTGGACCTGGAGAGGTAGATGGTGTTAGTAGTGGTCTGTGGAACTTGCGCTCTCATCTATAGCCGTCGCAACGCAATATCTATCTTAACTCTCTGACCACCTTCCAGAATAATAGTCTCTCAGCGTCAGCCTCCAAACTTTCACACAGACCAGTCGAATGGACTCCACGCAGACATGCCATTGCAGCAGCCCGATACCTGGCGCCCATCCTTGCCCCAATCTTGCGATCTGCCTCCTCAATCACCATATTGGACCACCTCCAATGGTTGATGCCAGCATATTGCTGGGATGACTGCATTACTTCCCGGTAAACCGGATGCGCCAAGGCGACGATTGGTTCCCATAAAGCAATTTCCGTCAAAACCACACCCAGACCGTACGTGTCGTGGGTCTCCTGGTTACCGCGCTCCGCTTCCCCGTCGGTTACACAATCGGGAGGGGCATACATTGCCATATCTCCAAGACCAATGGCGCGTGTCTCTTGCAAGCAACTGTCCGGAGCTCCACACCCATCACCCATAGCTTGCGTAGGATGGACGTCCGGCCAGCCACAGATGTATGGCTCAGTGATGTCATATCTTGCACTCTCCGTATCAGAGAAGAACATGATGTTATGGCTGGAGATGCTTCCGTGAATCCGTCCGGCGCAGTGCAGCTGGTACAAACTCAGCGCCAACCTCTGGGCTAGACGGACACGTTCTCCAAGTTCCGGCACTGCGGGCGTCTGGGACTTATAGGCGGTGGCCAGTATACCATGCAGAGTGATCGGTGCGGTCGCAAGCAGAGGCGGCTGGTACACGAAGCCTATCACCGGATGAAAGTTCCCATTTGGTAGTCGGCCGGTGGCAAGCGTGTATCCTCTGCATTCCAGGACACGGAATTCGCTGTCAGCAACTGAAATTTCGCGGAGAATCTCGACCAAATGTTGTCGACGCTGTGCAACGCACTGGTCTGAGGTTGAGGGGTGACTGGATCCAGTCGTAGTCAGCCGGGATTGCCATTCCACGAGCATCTAACACCTTTCCCTGCGACGAGGTGGAGTCATGTGTTTGAATATCCGGAAGGGCCGGTTCCGTGAAGCCTTGGAGACAGAACACCGGGATCTCGAAGGTTGACAGTGCCTTCATAGCCTGAGGATGAGCTGTCAAGCTTTGGGCTTCATCCTCTTCTACCTCGTGTCCCGCTGATGTTGGCGCTTTTGCACTCCCTCCTAGATCAAAGATTTCCAATTCGGTCAGCTGGCGCAGGCGAACCATCCCAGCAGCCAGACTATTCCGCACCCCGAAGGAATTCTCATCCGCCACCACAAACCTAGGCTCCGAGGCAAGGATCTCGCCCGCAAGACCCCTCGCCAAGAAGTCCGCTTCGTCTGCCGGCAACAGCCGCTCCAGCCCCGTATTCAACGTCACCAGGTCGGTCAGAAACTCACGGGCCGTTGTGCGCTCGACCGAAGACCCCGGCAAGGGCGCCTTATCGTCTATTGCCCTGCGGATCTGTCTGACAACCTTTGCCCGCTGCGCCGGATCAGCGAGCCTCTGATCAAGTGCACTTTTTGCTTCTAGGACTTGAGCGTATGGGGTTGCGGAATATCCATTCTCGAACCGCGACAGTGTCTGTTCGCGCACGGGCGGAGATTTCTTGCGGATCTGCAGATGCCTGTCCAGCACCAGCAGCGTTTTTCCGAGCATGTCGAATGCCAGGCGCCGAACTTCGGGGATGGCGAATATGTTGTTGCTAGAGGGCAAGGGTGGTGGGGATGACAGCAGACCGAATCCGCGGGTTCGGCCCCACAGGCGTAACCGCAGGAGCTCCACCCGGAAGCGGGCCTTCAGGCCTACGGTCGTGTCCCCTGTGATTAGTGCCTCGGTGACGCAGTCATATGCTGACAGGGTGGTGTGAACGATCGAGGAAAGAGAGGCAACGGTGACGGTGGGATTGTTGGGGTCCATGATGGTTTGCTTTTCGGGGTGGTGGGCATGATGTGCGTAGATGGGAAGTCAGTCACTGCTGGAGAAGATATACAAGAGAAAAGCGAAGCGCATCAGCCAGCCACATAAGCATTTTTGGGCGCGTGAGAAGGGGAGGGGAGGGGGCCATCTGGTGTGCATGATCGCACGTCAGTGGCGCCTGGTGCTGCGGCTTGTGCCACCGCCCGGTCTAGCCCTATGCCTCGTGCCTAAGGCGTCAAGGGGTGTGTGCTCATCTTGATGAGATTGTGACACTCTTCGGAAATTTCGGCGAAGTGATTTCAATTATCACGAGCGGCATGTACCATTGGCGTGGCTTTGATCTTGACCACTGGTACAGGCTGTTTTTCTACCCCTGGGTCTATACCCTAGAGACAGTGGCATCACCCCGCGAGGATGAATGTGACCAGGTGACCGCGCAAATCGTTAGCTAATCATCGATGGCTTAGGCTTTCTTGGGGGGTTCATTGCGCTGGTCGACTCGTCTTGATGTGCGCACACCTCCGGCTGCGACATTATACCCGAAGCATTGACTTGTGAAGCTTGTGTGACCATATTCGGAAGAAATCTATTATTATACATTTGAAGTGATCGTACATCTTTCTCAAACAACAATGACACCCATCTAAGCGTCGTTGGGACGGAAAACGACCTTCTCGCCCGACACACCCTCCTTGTTCGTCTTCAACGCCTCCTCGACCGCGCCAATGCCACCGGGGATCAGACGCACCCGGTTCGGCACAAACAGCCCCTTGGCGATCCACCCATCCTCCCCACCGAGAGCCTTGACCATGGGCTCACTCAAATGCCGCAGGGCGGGGGAGCTACCCAGCCCGAGAATCTGCTTGACGGCGACCTTGGGTTCCTGGGACTCACCCAGCGCGGCCGCCTCCTGGTCAACCCCCTGCACGGTCACGACGGCCTGCGCTGCGCCCTGGGTAGCCTGGGCGATCTCGACGCCCAGCTTCTGCGTCTCCTTGACGGAGATGGCATCATACACGTAGCTCAGCTTGACGCCCTCACCCGCAGCAGCCACGAAGTCCTGGGCGGTCGCGGTCTTCCGGTCGAGGACGACGTGCGCGCCTAGCCCCTTCAGGAACTCCTGATGCGCCGCGCTGGCGTTGGTGATGATGCGCTCGAAGCCGGACAGCCGCGCGAACTGGATCGCGTACTGGCCGACGCTGGAGGAGCCGCCCAGGATGGCGATCGCTTTCCCCTTGCCGGCCTCGGCGCCGCCGGCGGCCCAGGGCGCGGGGCTGACCGCGTGGCCCGTCTTGTCGTAGAGGCCCGTGACGACGGCCACCGACGCCAGACTGATGCCCGCGGCCTGGTCGTCGGAGATATTGCGGGGCGTGTGCGACACCAGCTCGGCGGGCATCACGCAGTACTGCTGGAAGGTCGAGGCCGGGTAGTTGCCAATGATGCCCTGGAAGAAGACGCGATCGCCGACGGTGTGCGTCGAGACGTTGCTGCCCACCGCCACGATCTCGCCTGCGGCATCTGAGCCCAGCACCGCCGGGTACGACTTCAGGAACACGTTGTAGTCCCGGATCTTCCAGTCGACCGGGTTCACAGCCGTAGCGGTGATCTTGATGGCCACTTGGTTGGCTTCCAGGGCCGGCAGGGAGCGGTCCTCGACGGTGTGCTGGGCGTGCGGGGCGGGGACCACAGCCGCTTTGTAGGTGGTTGGAAGGCTCATTTTTGTTTGTGTGTGTGTGTGTTTGTGTGTGTATATTAAAGTCGGTTATTGATTGGAGAGAAGGAGGATTAAAGTGCTGACAGGACGGCAGGGATAAGTGCAGTCAAATACTAGACTGTAAATGCCGAGGTTGAAAAAAAGTGAAGCTGGAGCTCTTCGATAGGGTTCCACTCTTGATTTGTCATGAGGTCATCGCGCTTAGCAATTCGCCGCATAAATGACGTCGTTCCTGCTTTATACCCAGCCTGTCTGCATAACTGCTGATGACTCAGCAGAATCGCAGTCAAATTCGGATCAATTGCAATCGAATTGGGTGCGCATGAGGATTGACAGGCAACGAATTGTTTGGATCAGATTCGATGTTTTCAGGTCCCTGGTATGACAACGTGCCGCTAAGAAATGCAGGATGCGCCAAGCTCTCCACTATCGGAATTGAGTCCCGGCCAAGCCTGCCTCTGCTAGCCTGTTCCAGCAATGGCTAGCACACGTATGACTTTGAATTGCGATCCATCGTGCTTTAGCTGTACTATACATAAGTTCTTCTCATGCCAACCTGTCTTTCTACACCTGGGTCCAGGCTATATACCTAAAATACCCGGGATCAGGGAAAGATGGGACCGAAAGCTGCCAAGCCCTGAAGATGTTGACATGAGAGTTGACGGAAAAACGGAAAGGTTTCAGCCAAGAGGTTCAATAAAGAAACCCCGACCCTTCGTCGTTCGCTATCAGAAGGTCGGTGTACTCTTGGATTGCCAAAGCGCAGACTTCTGGTGCCTGAGGCATCTCCCCACCCCCTATCATCACAACCCACAGAAATACCCAAAATGGAAGCCTGCGGATAGCCCGCCTTCATTCGGTGGTATAGGAGGACAATGGGGTACTCACCTCGCTTGATCTAGAATTTTCAATGCACCAGCCGTTGCGGCTGGCCAGATTTCCCGTCTACTCCGTGCTTAAGGGCCTAGAGCTCTCAGCACGCGGCGCCTTAATCAGAGCTCTCCAAGGGTAGTACACGGCATTTCCCTCTAAACAGCAACGCATTATATTCAGTCACAGAGATGGTTATGTTCTACACGATGAAAGCACTTTTCCAGAACAGTACAGGAAAACCGTCTACATTGACCCATCCCTGCCATAGAGCGTTTCGTTTATCTCATCTTCACTGGAGAAATCGCGGACAGTGGTGTCTTGTGTAGCATCCATGGGTTCAGCGTCACACATCTGGGCTGGATATCCAGCGCTCGTACTCAAGAGCTGTCGGTTCATGCCGTCGGGGGCGTCGTATTCTGCCCCAGCATCAGGGGCTATTGGAATATTCTGTGCCCCCATAGAGCTCTGAGGGCCCATGCCATCGAGGCCTTTGCTGGTATCGCTCTCTTTGAAGTCATCATCCATCATAGGGCCCAGGTTGTCATCTCCGGTGTCCGGCATGTTGGACCGTGGCTGTCGATCGGTCACAAGAGGGAGAGGGTTGTGGACGAAGGATGAACGTCGTTTGTCCATGGAAGAATGTACAGGCTGGTCAAGCTGAGTGCAGTAAATAAATTCCAGGCCTTGAAACCGATACTAGAGGTTCGATCAGAGGAGCGAGATGTTTGTGATTATTCTCAAGCAGGATGGGAAAAGGAGGGCGTGTGGAGAGAGGAGGCACCTTGTCGTTATATCAGACGTAAGAAAAGAGAGTTTATCATGTCGTCGAAAGTAATGGCCGAGACATACGTCTCCATTGCATCACGGTCATTGCATCACGGCCATGGAGTTGGTGGCTAATTGTTGCTCGATTGACATCTAGATCTTGTTTTTTCCCTGGAAATGATCCATCTGCCCCAAATTTGGAGTCACAATACGTGAGCTTTTTACCTGGCAGAGTAAAACATCCCTACCCAAGTCCTTCGTCCTTTTTTCTCCGTTCGAAGGTGTAACTACCCCCTTTGGCGGCGTGAAGTACGGGTTCAATATCCTTTCTGATGGCAATATCTCTATCACGTGATCATATGTGGTCTGAGAACCGGCTCCGATACGTGTAAGAATGGGGCGGAAAAGACCTGTTGGTGCCACATTTGAGATCGAACAATCAATCATATTCTGATTGAATACGGCGATAATGTGTGGAAAGCTCGCTGCTTTTTCAGGAACAGTAAAAAGCAAGGCTTCAGCACGTGTGAGATGAGATCACGTGCCAATACCTGTAGGGGACCGGGCGGGCTAAATCAAATCTGCTGGATTTTACTTTGTGAATCCACGCCGTGTTAGAGTTACCCAGTGGGAGCAATTTTTCTCATGTATGGGGAGGCTCGCGGGGAGATCATGAGAGAATCGAGAATTCCCGAACATAAAACGGGGCTAGTCACGGTTTTCGGCTCCCTCGATGCCGCAATCCGGAATCTTGAGCAGGTGGTCGATGCGACGCCAATGCACCCGTGGGGCATCTGTTGGCCCTTAGAGGCTTGGTCCCAAGGCGATATATTTTGACACAGAACGAGGGAGGTCTTGTGAAGCTGCTCGATATCTCTGTTCAGCTTCTAAGGGTTGTTCCCGATGGGACACATAATCATGAAATTGGGCTGATTGGGACGGCATACACACTGATGGCCTTCCATATCAATACATTGCACCTCGATTATCTCGAAGAATCTCTCAGCATACTGCTACCGGCGAGAAAAACAAGAAGAATCAGCTTACCGCCCTAATCTGTCAATTAACATAAAAAGTCTATCCTTGGGAGCAGGGAGTCCAGACGCGAGTACGAATGCGAAGATGAACCTTGAGGGAGCAGTAAAGGTGGTACGGCAAATGCCTCAGGCTGGCGGCCTGTCTCTTGCGGCATTAAACCAGTCGCTTCAGCGAAATTGGTCCTCGTCGCCATGTTCCAAGCCCCCGGCGCTGCCGACCTGGAGGGTGTGGAGCAGAAGGTGACTGCCATTCTAACCGCGCTTGGCTTTTTGGTCCAGAGTGAGAAGCTCCAGCAACCAGATGTTGATAAAGCGATGCAGCATCTTTTACAGAGGCGGATTGTGCACTTCGCGTGCCATGGTGTGGCCGATCCGCTTTATCCCGCGGACAGTGGGTTGCTTCTGAAACAGCCACCGCCACCCATCGCCACCCCTCAGCAACAGGTTTTGACCGCGTGAGTGATCCATGATAGATACAATGCGCAGGACCAGATTGTGTATCTCCTGGCTTGCTCGACGATGCAAGCCCGGGCTCCGGGCTCCGGGGCCCCAGGATGAACACCTCCCTGTCGTCAGCCGCTTTCAGGTCGCGGGATTCAGACACCTGATCGGTTGCTTATGGCCGTCGGATAACGCGAACTGGATCGAGAGTGCTTGCTCATTTTACACGCACCTCCACCGAGGCGGGATGCAGGGACTCACAGACCAAAAGATCGAGTTGGCTCTCTACAAAGCAGTCAAGGCGATATCGGAGCACCAGAAGTATAAAAGGCAACCGTGGAACTAGGCCCAATATGTTTACTGTGGCGCGAGATGGCTGCCGGGCAACCTGCTCGATGAGTTTCCCGGGCCATCACGGTGTATCGGGACTTATAGCTCTGGCAGTCCAGCGCTTCGTGTTGATTTATCACAAGTTCGATTCGGACAGGGTGTTGTTTATTACTCGATGGACCCCGTAGACTATGCAGTCCGAGTTACATAAGATATAGGTTCGTGTGTATGATTCACCTGGCCATTTGAGTCTGTTATGTCATGTGACTATTGTTCGCATTGACTCAATGCCGATATAAACAGCCTGTCAGATCAGGTGGGACTACCAGACATGGCTGGTGGTTGGATAATGAGACATGCACTAGAGACTAGCGTGAAAGCTCAACTCCTCATTAATTAGCGGTGCGGGGAGATGAAAGACCCTGAAAGACCCTGAACAACGGCAAATTATCTTCCCTCACCCATCGTAGTCAACGCAATCGAACCAGCCCCCACGCGAACATGGCGGGAAACTTCAAGGTCCTGATCGCCGGCGGCAGCCTGGTCGGCCTGACCCTGGCCATCAGTCTGGAGCACGCGGGAATCGATTACGAGCTCTTCGAGAAAGGGGACTTCGCTCCCCAGCTGGGCGCCTCCATAGGCTTCTACCCGCAATCGAATCAGCTGATGGATCAACTAGGCGTCTGGTCTGAGATTGAGAAAGTCGTGATCCCCTTGCGGGCGCGATATCACTTCGACGAGAACGGATACTGCATGGAGGCATCTATTGCTTTGCAGTATCTTCAGCAGTAGTGAGTTGATCGTATACTTGAAGCAAGCAAACCAATGCCGGTTCCATGAGTTGACTTCTTTCTCTCCAAGCCTGAAATATCCGACCATCTTCATGGAACGCAGCGAGATGCTGCGGATCCTCCACGACCGCATCGCGGATCCCATGAAGCTCCACAGCCAGAGTCCCGTCGTTGCGTACGAAGAGACCCCTGGGGGTATTGCAGTGACGACAGCCGATGGCCAGAGGTTCCAGGGGAGTATTTTGGTTGGAGCCGATGGAATTCATAGCCGCGTCCGGCAGCTCATGGCCGATAAGATCCATCCCACAGACGTTGCTCTCGCAGAAGGCATCGAGCAATGTGCGTTGTCGTCATCTTTCATCCCCATCCGTGCATTCCATACACTAACCGCTGTCAATGGCGCAATGCAGCATTCACCAGTGAATACAAGTGCCTTTTCGCGGTCTCGCGCAACGACCCCGCAGCCCCCTTCCTTCCCGACGGGACCGTCCACAACGTCTACCACCAGAACCACTCCGCGTTAGCCGCCACAGGCGTCCCAGGCCTCGTCTTCTGGTTTCTCTTCGTCAAAGTCCCCAACATGTGGACGCCCAACTGTCCCCGGTTCACCGAAGCCGACGCGGACGCCTTGGCTCACGAATACGGCCACGTCGCGCCGGGGCCGGGCTACACCATTCGGGACCTATGGACCGCCCGCGTGAAGGGGTCTTTGGTCTCGCTGGAAGAAGGGATCGTCTCGCAGTGGAGCCACGGCCGCGTCCTGCTGCTCGGCGATGCGGCACACAAGGTCACCCCCAACGCCGGCTTCGGCGGCAATCTCGCCCTTGAGGGCGTGGCGCATCTCACCAATGCCCTGGTCGCGTTACTGCAGGACTGCGGCCCCCGCACGGCCCCGGAAGTTGAGCAGCTTGGGGCTCTCTTTGCGGAGTTCGACCGGAGCCACCGTCCGCGCGCGACGGCGGTTCTGGGGTTGTCCGCGAAGATCACGCGGTACGAGGCCCAGGAGACCGGGTTCCTGCGCTTCGCCGCCCGGTACTTGTCGCCTGTGATTCCGGATCGGTGGAAGGCTGCGCTATTCGCGCGCTTTGCGTCCGGAGCACCGAGGTTGGAGTTTTTACCCATCAAGACGGCGGCAGCGGCGGTGGCGACGGCCTGTGTTGGGAGAAGTGTTCGAGAGCAAGATAAAGGAACGGGCAAGGTGTGGCTTGGAGTTGGGCTGGTTGGTGTGGTTGCGGCGGTGGGGCTGGCTACATCTCGAAGATAGAACTGCTGCTCTGTCATACTCCTCTACACTGAACCTATTCAATGGTAGTGAGAGCCTAGAACCTGGAGAGAAAGGGTGTGGGTTAGACTGCCGATGTAGAACAGGTCTACCCTGCCATTCTGTCCTATCCCTTCCTGCTTTTCCACCGTTTTACATGGCTTTAGGGGCCTCCAATTGAAGACCCCCCGACTCATATATCCACAAATTAATCATTATAGTCATACAATCGCTTGAAACACCACTTTTGACCTGGTCTATAAAAATCAAGCAGCATACTTTTAGTTTCGGAAAGGTCTTCAGTCAATCGATCATGTCACTTCGTATCGGCCCTTTCCAAGCTGGCAGGGGCTCTCTCGGTGGACCCGCAAACTCAGAACATTCCGCCGGTGGTATGTCGTTCAGAATGGCTTCAATATCGAAGTACGATGGTCTGCGACGGTATTCCGGTGATGATACAGCTGGCGAAGCCATGTTGGATGGGGGGGTCATGTGCGAGGGCGAGGTCAGGCTGGAGGGGGGCGTCCCCATCAAGTAATACCGGTCGCCCCGACTCCCGTTGCGCGAGGAGAACCATTTCGGGGCGTAGTGGTGCAGGAACGCGCGCGTGAAGGGGAGGCAGCCGCAGAGGATAATGAAATTTGCTTCGAGGACTCTGTAGATGGGTTGTCGCGTGTTAGTGGGGGCTCAGCATTACAGAAAAAGCAAGAAAAGAAACGGGCGGGGGAGGGGACACTGGGCAGGAGAACTCTTGTTCATGCGACTGAAGGCACATACATAAAGAGACACACAAGCCCGATGTTATGGGGCTGGTTATTCGAATCGAGAAGAGGAATGAGAGTGACCAGGCGAACGATACTGGTCACAACCGTACTGTTCAACACAAAGCCCCAAGGGCATCCCAACGGGTCAGTTACCACCCTTGATATTGATACTGGGGACGTGATCACAAATGGAGGTCAAACAAGAATCACGTACAGACATCCCAAACCAAGCAGGCAGAATAAACCAATCTTCTGCATGAATGGTAAGTTCAGGGCCCAGATAAAGATCATCGGGATGAGCAGCAAGATGCTGTCGCTGGCGGTGTTGGCGATTGCGGTGGCCAGATAGAGGCCCGATCGTCGTCGGCAGGCACTAGGGCGGGTGAGGGACCAGCCATCCTCGATCGGCACGCAGGCGAAGATAAGCATGAAGACTAGGATAACACTGTAGAGTCCGATGCTACTACCCACGGCCCAGAGTGTGTACCGCCACGGAGTGATGAACTTGAGGACTCGGTAGTACAGCATCAGGACGGCGAATTTGGCGAACGCTAGCGCCTGGATGTGGATCACCGCCATGGCAAGAATGGTCTAATGTCATCGTACTCCGATTAATCCCAGTCGCGAATGGTAGCAATGGATGTATCATTGAGTACCTTTCGATAGGTGACGAGTTCTGAGACAGACAGGTCCCAGATGTCTATTGCAAAGCCTGCATCGAGGCAGCCATCTAAAGGTAGGCGGGTTAGATGCGTTGTTGGATTTGCTGAAACGATATGTCCATACATATAATGACCGCCTGGGTGCTGACGGAAAAGATCTGTTGCTCTGGGGATCAATCACTTTGTCCTTTCCATTGTACACTCAACCTGTGTGTACTTACCCAGGCCAGGAGAATGAATACTGTGCGGGCTAGGAGTCAGTTTCACTGGAGCCATTGAAATGAGGAGTGAGTGAGTACACACCATCATCCCACCAGAACTTCCGCAGAATCCGTGCCTTGGTGTAGATTCGGATCACCAGGAAGACTGTGCTCAGCGCAAGACCCACGGCGATCGCGATGCAGTTCGCTGTGAACAGCCATGGCCGAGGATTGGGATTCACTGTTTCGCCAGGTGGGGGTAGCACCGGTCCTGTCACATTCATCGCTGCTCGAAGGCAAGACTAGAACGCAAAGTGCGAGCTTGCAGCATCAGTCGCTGAATGAACATTATTGACAGGCAAAGTGGGTATGCGAAGGAATGACATATGTCAAAATTTGAGCTTTTCTCCACAGGATCTTGCGGGGGTAAAAAGGAGAAAGCAAAGAGTCGTTGCCACTGACACCATCACTTCTTAAGGTTCTAGATTCCGACCTGAGCCATGGTTTGCGGGCTATACGAGGGATGTACCCGCATGCAGCTCGTCTACTGGTGGTGCCTGCCCACCCTCCTCCGAGGGAAGATTATTGGAGATCTGGGATTTGAGATCTGGTTTCCGATCGCCCCAAGTCCGAGCAAAGCCGCCTCAGAAAGAAACAGCTGGTAGGAGCACAGCGAGCTTCAAGGTGAAATAGGGTTTATAAAGGTGGCCGCTCAACCATCATCTACGAAACTGGAGATTACTTCCGTCACAGATGCAGTTCATGTGTCTCCAGTCGATTGACTTACCCCATCTTGGCCTGTGGATCACACTCTGCCATTCAAATTAGCATTTATTGCTGGCGTCTGACGTTATCCCGGTTCCAGAACCACCACCACATGCTTTACTGATGCACGCACCAGGAGAAGCCCAGCTCAAATTACCATCAATTTATAAAACATGTATCAAATAAGATAATTAAGAACTTCTCATTATACCACTTCCAGTAAGATGAAACATTCAAGAGGGACGAATCGAAGTCATTGCCAAGCACGCACAATACTAGCTTGATGCAACCCAACTATCACTTTGGATAATACAACATACCTTCACCCCACCCTTTATAATCCCTTCTTCCATCATACGCATCGCCCATCGCCAGTGCCAACCCTCAAGGTGTCGACCCAAATGGCCCTTCAATCTCGGCCACATAAACCCTGCTGCGATCCATAAACCTCTTCTCATCCTCCGCAATCCGGTCCCCCTGTTCAGCCAGCCTAGCCTGAAAGGCTCCCCAGTGCTGCATATCTTCGAAGATCATCTCAACGCACACATCCCACGGGAAGTCGTCAGCTTGGCCTGCATACACCTTGGCGAGGTAATTGGTGTTCGATGGATCGATGGAGGCGGGATCCCGGGGGTTCCGGACGAGGTACCAGCGCTGGTGGAGGGTGGGAAACGAGCTGCCGGCGATCTCCTTCGCCAGAGGCATGTGGTGATTCTCGTAGTAGTCTTTGAACTCCTGCGGGGTGACTTTCGGACTGCGTGAAAGGAATACAATTGCTTTCAACGTCATTATGGAGTTGGAGTAAATGATTATTTTCTGAGTGGTTGAGAAGCGTCTAATCTGGCGGGGCTTTGGTGGTGGGGACGGTGGGGCTGGTGAGGATGCTAAGGATCGGTATTCATGCTGAGGTTAAGAAACTTTTCTCGAGTTATATAACCTCTCAATGAGTCAGAAGGAGCAAGAAGAAAGCATAGGAATCACCGTGTAGATGCTGGAAGGTTCGAGATTTGGGCGAACAAGGCTGAGAGATGCGACGGGAAGAAGCCTGTCAGCTAACATAATGGTCATCGGCTAACCCTTCATATGCATCTCTACAGAAGCGCACCTGACCCTTCGAGTTTGAGCTTCAGCCCCACGGTCGGAATTTCTCTCCTATGTTCGGATTACAATGGGGGATCCGGGAACTGGTCAACAACTGGCTTGTCTCCAATATTTCATCTTTTGCAACAGACTGAGCCACTTAACGCGATGCTCTGGGCTTATTTGCAGTTCGAGATACAGTATATGCGGTTCTGACCATGTCAGACTACTCGGATTGAATCATCGCTGTTCGACGTAGCAAGATAAATCTCATATTCCTAGATAATAACGTATGACCTAATTTGTAGTTCATGATAAGATTCGTTCCTGTATCAAAGGTGACTGTGGTAGGCATGTCTATACTGGAGCGTCAGCCAATGTCGATCTGAGACCCAAATCATCCGCTTCCCACGCCTGCAGCCCCCATCCTCTCCACCTAGCACAAGTCCTTGTGCGGAATGCTGAATAATGTAGTGAAGTGACTAATCTACCGACAAAGAAGATAGGGAGGAAATTATAGTGGGAGGAAAGTAGTCTGCGTACTCCCCCCACCAAGTTGTTTGCTTCCAGGCGTCACTTTCTGCAGCACCGCCTTCCTAATTTCTTATTGAGGCAGATGGTGGGTATAAGGACTGGACGGTGGTGGCTGTTGCCGGCAGAATTAACTGTCACTAGTCCTAAACGGGAAGAAGACGAATTCCTGGTGGAGGGAGGACGCAGACTTATCTTTGTCTTGCATAGCATAGGAAGAGCCGACACTGATCGCACTTGCGCTAATCAGCCTAGGCCATCGACAGTCAGTCGAGTGCTACCACGATTGACTGACAACCGCAGCACCCAACTGACTCGTTCTCGTGCGCTAAGTAACAAATAGGCTAAGCAGGAAAGCTAAGCTGGAGCCGTCGCAAGCTAGAAAGAGTACTTACCAGGGATAAGAAATTGCGGCGCAGTCAAGGCGCAGAACAACATCAGCACTAGAGGTGAGGCCTGAGGAGCTGATTGGTCTATATCCGCGCCATCACCATCTGAGCCCTAGTTTCGACAAAGACGATGCAGCTCGATCCAGGCTCCATGTTGCATCTCCTGGCCCTCTTCTATCGCCACCTTTCCGTCTACGGAAAATGAACATTTGTATTCTAGAATCGTGCCCTGCAAGCGTGGCACTAGGCCATTGTCCGTCGCTTCGAGTCCCCGCCGTCAAGCTTGTCACGCATTGTCGCTAAGAACCGGCCGAAGGCACCCCCGACAGGTACCGTACGCGGAGAGTTTCACCTTCACTCTGAAGCAACACCCTGACATACCGTCTAAGCAAAACGTCACCATGGAAGCAAACGCCAACAATGCCGGCCATTCCACACCAACGCCCTCTTCGCGCGTCTCTTCCTTCCTCTCCGTCAAGAAACCCCACTCCTCAACCAATCCCCCGGCCTCAGCGCTAGCAACAACACTGTCATCCGAGCAACCACCCCCGAGAGCTCTCTTCTCCTCCGCCCAGGACGAAACCGCCGACCTCCTCAAGACCATCTACCATGCCCGCACGCAACTCCGCGAGGTACAGCGCCTGTACCGCCTCAAGGCCACGTGGCTGGATGCCACCGAGACCCACTGGATCGAAGCTACGATGGCCGACCTGGACGATGCGGTGCGCGCAGTCGCGCGGCTGGTGGAACCGGCCCGCGTGGAGCAGGAGACCCGGCGGCGTCGGGGGAGTATCGGCCTGGCGACGCAGCTGCGGTGGGTGTGTCGCGATAGTCGGCGGGCGCGGTTGCAGCGCAGTCGGCTGCTGATGTGTCACCAGAGTTTGATGGTGGTGTTTGAGCGGTTGCGTGGGGTGCAGGTTCCCGCTGGTGGTGCTGCATACCAGCAGGAGCAGGATGTGATGGAGTTGCCGGCTGGTGAGGTTGTGAGGCCGGAGGATGGAGATGGTCTGGTGGGGGGCTTGGATACGGAGGGGGGAAGGGAAGAAGGCGCGGGAGGGGGGTCGTCGGGTGGATTGGAGGAAGAGATGTTGGATTTGCTACGGTGGAGGCAGTCTAAGGGGAATGCGGCTGCTGTTGATCGAGCGGAGGAGGTTTTGGCTGATGGGGATGTTTTGAGAGTTTGATATATGGGGTATAGTTAACTGGTTTGACACGGCTTGCGAGTGCATTATGACTGTGATTTGCTAGATATAGTTGGCTACGATGATCGTTCCGAATGTCAAATCTGCGCGGTCGCTTCCTCCACTACTTTCCGGGGCGTAGCTAGTCGCTGCCCCCGCTCATCGCTGACCTTGACTACTGCTGGTAGAGTTGCGATAGACCGCGACGGTGCATCCCAGACAAACTCGAAAGAGCACGGTTGAGCGAACAACCAGACGCCCAGGTCGGCGGCTTCCTTCACCACACTTCTTAGATGGCGTCGGACGTCCGGATCAGAGAACTGTGGGTTGTGGAACGCTGCGAACGTCCGTGAAAAATCCCCTGCAAGAGCAGCGATGTTCCTCTGTGCAGCCGGGGACGAGGTATCGAGATACTCGGCATGCAGATGAGCTGTAAGCAAACGCCACGCAAAAGCGGCATTGTCACTCGCTATCGCAGCTCCTGTGGAGAGACGAGCGATATCCCCTTCATAGGTATCTTGAAATGGCGGGAAGAGCAATCCACCGGCCTGGATAGCCTCTAGTAATGTACGAGCAAGGACGTGGGTCAGTGCCGCTCGTCGAACGCGACGATTTGCCAAGGTAGCCGCGAGCGGGCCAGAGATGAATGGGGAGTTGTATCGGATCATCTCTTGAATCTCTGGCGCGTGGGGCTGGGCGCTATTACCACTATCGGGGGCGTAGTAGTTGTCCACGTGGAGGCTGATATGGTCGAAGAGGATTTGGATGCGAGAGCTCACAGTTTGATCGTCGGCAGGTGGTGGGATGAAGGGAGCCAAGTCTAGAGACAAGCTTTGTTCCGCTCCCGCAGCGAAAGAAGCGGGAATCGGGCGAGTTTGGACAGTCGCTGGTGATTTTGCCAGTTCTACGCCCTGTCGATCGGGGCTCTGAAGATTGCTCGCTCGTCGAGGAGGATCACGTCTAGACCGGAAAAAGAGCCAAGCGGCGAGGAGGGCGATGACGGCGGTTCCAGCAATGGAGCCAACTACTGCACCTGCCAGAGCACCACTACTGACTCCATGGCCTGAGCTTGGATGGTTGGTAGCCGTTTGAGTATGCTGGGAGACCGAGGAAGAGGCAGTCTTGGCTGTTGTCACTGTTGGGGAAGCAGATGGTGAAGGTGTAGTTCCCAAGGGTGTGGTGCCAGAGGAGGTAGCACGAGAGGAGGTAGTATCAGAGGGAGTAATAGCAACGGAGGTATAATATGAGCTTGAGATGGCTGAACTCGTGTAGTACTCAGGCGAGGGGCTTGAAAGGGTAGACTGTGACTCTGCCGCGGATGTCTGCGCTTGACGAGGCCGCAGTGAGTCCGCCATGGTGAATGGTGTGAGAAAGCCAGGTGACGGAGGGCTCAGCGAGCGCTAAAGTACTTTTATCGCCCCATCCAAAATGGAGAGAGTCAGCCGAACGCAGAAGTCCGATGCAGGGATATGTGGCAGACTAGCTAGGGTTGCGGGCCATGGTCGAGCAATAGCGTCGTCTAGTCAATCGAACGGACATTTTAGCCGCATTGGATAAAGCGGGGCACCAAATTGCACCTTCGAGCTCATTTCAATCTCTGGGAGTCAGCTCCCTTTTCTTAACTATTGAACAAATTTCCCCTCTCATCTCCAGAAAATGAGTGACATCGAGGCCCTTGGGCCCCCAAGGAAGGCCTCTGCCCACAAGGACGAGGAGTGGCGACCTGACATCGTGGTGGGGGTTGACTTCGGCATGACACACACTGGTAGGCCTCCAATCATTCAGCGTCTCGCGGCTCAGAACGCTGATTAGCTCGGAATCCTGGTCTTCCAGGTGTGGCCTATTCGTATGGCCCAGAATGGCCGCCTCCCAAAACCATCCAGCGATGGCCAGGCAAGTTGCCGGGAGAGCTGGCGAACAAAGTGCCTACGTGCCTCACGTACAGTTTTGATCAAACAACCGTCAAAAGGTGGGGCTTTCAGTGTGAGTTAGACAACTCAGAAGAAGACTTGAAGGAGTTCTTTAAGCTTCATCTCTCGCCTCAGCATCCCCGGGATGGCGGCCCCAGCTTGGCCGAGGCCCAGCGATGGTTCCAAGACTATATTCGCTGCGTCTACCGGCACGTCGTATCGTACTTTGACAACACCATTCCGCAGTTTGTCACGCAGCGTGTGGAGTTCCTCTTCAGCGTTCCAACCACGTGGAAGGATGTGCGCATGGTGGAAGAAACCCGCCGGCTGCTTGCTCAGATCATTGGCGTCCAGAATCCCAATCATCGCGCCTGCATTGGATTGACTGAAGCCGAGGCAGCGGCAGTCTACGCTGGAAATGAACACTATCGGGTCGGTTTCTGCTCTTCTTCTCTGCGGTTGTTGTGCTTGACTGAGAATCGCAGCAAGATGATACAATCATGGTCTGCGACTCGGGTGGCGGAACAACAGTATTACCTACCCCCTCTGCTTCAGGCATGACGTTATTGCAGATCCTGCAGACCAACACCATTTCTAGGATGTGAATGTCCTCAAGCTTCTGTCGGCCCGGAGTGAGCCTACGCGACTTTCCCAGCTCGGCCACGTGGAAGGTGATTCGTTATGTAGCAAGGGCACCCACCATAGCCGCTGGCTAATATTGCTCTAGGACATCCGATCGGCTCAGTGTTTATTGATAGAGAAATTCACCGCATCATATGCGACAGACTGGAAAGAATAAGTGATCATTTACGTTTATCCCCAAGTGCAACCGCTTGGAGAATGACCTTCGGACGGTTTCAGCGGTTCAAATGCGCCTTCGGTACCGAGGCCACAGCAGCTCCCTGGCTCAAGCTTGATGTACCATCTCTGCAAACTGATGTGGACTTTCCAGAGGCGGACGTATATGATGGCCAGATGCAGATTGCTTGGTGATTGTGACAGTCGAATGATGGCGGCTATGGCGGCTGACCAGGCAGCAGGAAGGACATCCAGAAATGCTTTGACACGAAGGTTGACGGGATGTGTCGTCTGTTAGATGGACATATCCAGCAGCTGCGCGGGCAGTATCCCAGTGACCAGATTGTAGGCTGGTTGGATGAATCGTGGATTTGAAAAACAGACTGACCGATTGCGTAGACGTATCTGATTCTATCCGGTGGCCTGGGCAGCTCGCCGTATGTGCGACAACAACTGCAGGAGAGGTATAGTGGATCGGGCATGACAAGTGGTCCCCTCAGTGGCACAATGCAAGTCCTGACAGCTGATGAGCCGTAAGTGACCCTTGTATGCCATACCTCTGGGTTGTTGCTCACAAGAGTTTGCTTTTAGACAATTGGTCGTCGTCCACGGACTGGTCATGGACAGAACCCAACAGCTCAAACGCGGCGTCGTCACCTTTGGCTCCCGCTGTGCGCCGGTCAGCTACGGGATCATCTGCAACAAGCTGTACAGCAAAGACTTCCACCTTGGAGAACGAGTCCAGATCGATCCCCGCGACAACCGGATGTATGTGCTTGACCAGATCGACTGGCTAGTGATAAGGGTACGCCATCCAATCCGTCTCACTTTCACTCATGTTCCTAACAGCGCACTAACGCTCGCCTTTATCCAAGGGCTACCCCATTGACTCTGCAGGAGTAACCAAAGAATTTCATCTCAAAACAGACGTCGGGAGAGAGAACGAGCCCTGGAAAGTCCAGATCGTGATGTCCACCCGGATGCCTGGGGAGCTGCCCCGCAGTCTGCACCACGAGGGGGTGCAAACCGTGTGCAACTTGGACATCTTCACGGACAATGTGGACAAGAAGCTGAAGAACCGGCACTGGTACAGTTCTAAGCCTGCGTTCTGGCGGACCTCGTTCGAGGTGAAGGTCGTCGTCGGGCCGGCAGACCTCACGTTCCAGCTCTGGTCAAAGGGAGAGCGGATTCGCAGCAAGCATGAGCCTATATCGGTGCATTGGATGCCGGCGGAAGATGTAGAGGTCTGATCAATTGCAGAAGCTCTTCTGAGAACATTTGTCTAGTCTGCAGACTCTGCTAGATCGCGTATGAAAGTGATTACGCATCTTTGTCGGATAGAGTTAAGATGTAGAACCTCGACGGAATTTGATCGTCCAAAGGAGATCTCATCTTAAGGCCATGTCAGCAGCGAGTTTGCGGGGAAGCAGCATACATAGTCAAAATTCCACCAATGATGCCGTGCATGTCTGAAAGGACCGTGCATATTCAGGCTATTTGAATGGGGTTCGGCTATGTCTACGCCGAGGAGCCGCGATCGGCATAGAGTACATGTCGAGATGGTTGTTGGTTGCAGTCTGTCCTAGAAGCAACAATTCTGCCCTCTCAGACGATCCCTAACATCGTAAAGTGATTTACGAATGTCGAGTATTGTGCAAGACAACAAAAGAATAGTTTGACGAGTTTCCAGCTCCAGCCTGACTCCGCTGATGGGCTGTGATCATTCGATCCCGCGCTTTTGCAACGTGTGTCAACCATGCTATTTATGCCTCCCTTTGCGCTCTTTGCGCTCCTATCACTCCTCGAGCCTGTCGGCGCACTCACAGAGACGACTAGAATCATCGACCGCCGAAATGTGATCCGCAGGTACAATCCCGTGCGCACGAACCTGTCGACCACCACACCAATGCAGGTCGGCAACGGGGACTTCGCTTTCGGAGCGGATATCACCGGTCTACAGACCTTTCTCCCATTCAACATCCTCTCGTCCTGGTGTTGGTGCAACGACTCGCTGCCCACCATCCCCGGGCAGACCGAGCCCTCCGACTTCACGGGCATGGACTGGTGGACGCACGACCGCCTGGTCAACTACGGCATCTCGAATCCTGCGGAGGCGGCTATCTCGCAGTGGCTCATCGCCAATCCGCATCGGGTCAATCTGGGGCGGGTTGGGCTCTTGTACCAGGGGGCGAATATATCGGTAGCAGATGTGACTAGCACGGTGCAGACTCTGGATTTGTACAGCGGGATTTTGGATTCAAGGTTTGAGCTGCATGGAACGGCTGTTTCGGTTCGGACAGTTGCAGATCCCGTGTCTGATACTGTGGCTGTGGATGTGCAGTCATCTCTGCTGGTAGATGGATCCCTGAGTGTCTTCTTCGACTATCCTTTGACCACGGGGACGAACAAGTTCGAAGCTCCATTTGTGGGAAATTGGAGCTTGGTCGAGGAGCACACCACACGCTTGAAGATAGCGACAGAACGAGAGGCAGTGGTCGAGCATACCCTGGGAGGCACGACTTACTACAATACCATTGCATCGGAGCAAAGAGGCAATATCCGCGGCCCGATCAACGGCACCCATCGCTACATCGTGCAGCCCACTGGCAAGGGAGGGAGATTCACTTTCACCACATCGTACACGCCGTCGATCCAGGCAGACAAGAGGTCATTTACAACCGTCGAAACGTGCTCGACGCAGTGGTGGGCGCAGTACTGGGAGTCCGGCTCCTTCGTCGACCTGACGGGGTCGAACTCGTCAGATGCTGCAGAGTTACAGCGCCGCATTATCCTCTCGCAGTACCTACTCGCCGTGAACAGTGCGGGTCACGATCCACCGCAGGAATCAGGCCTGCAGAACAACGGCTGGTACGGCAAGTTCCACCTGGAGATGGTATTCTGGCACCTCGGGCACTGGGCTCGCTGGAACAAATGGGACATCTTGAGCCGCAGTTTGGGGGTCTACGAACGGTTTCTTCCGTCGTCAATTGACCGCGCAAAGAAGCAGGGATACGAGGGCGCACGGTTGGGCAAGATGAGCGACCCGTCTGGTGCCTCTGCCCCGGGTCCACAGAATGCCCTGCTAATCTGGCAGCAACCCCATCCGATGTACTTTGCGGAGATGGAATATCGAGCCTCGCCGACCGTAGAAACGTTGCAAAAATGGGACACGATCCTCGACGAGCTAGCAACCTGGATGGTGTCGTACGCGTGGTGGAACACGACGACCCAGGTTTATGACCTCGGCCCGCCGATGTATCCGTCCTCGGAGAATACCAGCCCCAACTCAACCTACAATCCAACATTCGAACTGGCCTACTGGCGGTTCGGGCTGGATATCGCCTCGGACTGGAAGAGGCGACAAGGTCACGAAGTCCCGGCGACCTGGACGCGCGTGCGGGAGAATCTGGCATCGCTGCCCGTCGTGGATAACGCGTACTCGATCTGCGCCGATCTGCCGGATATGTGGACGGAGAGTAGTTATACCTCGGACCATCCGAGCCAGATTGCAGTGTATGGGCTTCTACCACCGACAACTGGTGTGAATGTTTCGGTCGTCAGTGCCACGATGGACCGCATCGCTCAGACATGGAACTTCTCCAAGTCGTACGGATGGGACTTTCCGATGTTGGCGATGACTGCCGTCCGGTTGGGAGACATTGACGAGGCGGTTTCGTATCTGCTGCACCCCAATTTCCAATTTGATGATGTGGGCAACCCCGTGGGGACCGTAGTACCCACGCCGTATTTCCCAGCTTCATCCTCGTTGTTGCTCGCGGTGGCGATGATGGCTGGGGGATGCGATGGCAATGAAGGAGCACATTTCCCACAAGGATGGAAGGTCAAGGTGGAGGATTTCATCCCTGGGATGTAGATTTTCACATGCCTCTTTGCATTGAGGTCTTCTAAAGTCTCAAAACTTCCCAAGGTGAAAGGGCGGACCGAGCGCGGGCGGTGAGACATAGGGGGCAGAAAAACTGGCGTTTGACCGCCTTCTTGCTTGGTCTTCCCGGCCAAGAACTCTGGAAGGCTTGACACACTCCCTTCTTCGGTGAAAGACATACTTCGTGCCATAAGCTTTTTGTATCATCGAGCGAGCGATCCGGCAGTGAGTCTCCATTAGGAGGCTAACCCCTATGTCAGCTGAATTCCGAGTTCCTTAGGTCCGAAAAGTGGGTTCAATTTTCGCTCACACTATTATAGTATATTCATTGCCCAGTCCACCAGACGAAGAGAGCTCGAGCTTACCTTGAAAACAGAACCTGTTGATGGTTCCAGTATACTAGTATCTCCTCTGAGTATTGAAGTCGGAAGATTTAGGATCAAAAACACATCATAGTTCAACCAAAAAGATTATTTGTAAATCAGCAGCACCCTTGACTGCTCGCCTTAGGTCAAGATGCATACCCCGTGGACCGATCGCGCGTGCCAGCATTTCACTTCACCCATCATTAGAAAATTCAGCAGATTTGCTTGACAGGATAGGAGGAGAAAAGGCAGAAGCATCATGATGAAGAATTTCATACACGTGAAACCTTCATGAGACAGTTGATTGCTGTCTTTCATGAGGATCAGCGCCCCGAATGGATGCATCTCCCTGCCAGCGGTGCCAAGAAAATGATCTGTTCCACACCATTACCTGCCAGGAGGGTAGCCTCCATCGGCAGTCAGAGGCCTAAATCCCGCCGCATCATGGATGCCTCGGCAAAACCACTGCAGAATATTATAGAAGCCTCAAGCCGCTAAAATCAATCGATTGCCTTGGAAATCGGGCCCTTCTGGGTGGAGCAGATCAGACCATTATGGCTGACCGCCCGGAGAGCGCAGATACTCCATCCAGCACAGCTTGGTGGCTGAATAAAGCATGGGAAGGTGACAGTCGTGGCGATTAGGTTTCTTGGACAACAGTGGATCCGGGGGGGAACGGTCGAGGTCGTTGGGATTACCAAGCACCCGCTCCAGTCGGGCGTTCCCAGCCCTAACTTAACCACCCCAGTCTATTTCGTTCTTACCAAGCATTGGTGGCTAGACCATGATCTTGGCCAGGCACAGGACTGTGCGGCATGGTCGCCCCTACACAGTTGGCTGTTCGCTTGGCTTCTGTCGGCTCTGCTTCAGCTGTATACTTACAGACAACATGATCCTAATACCGTCCCAGGCTCGGTAAACTCGTCATGCTCAGCCCTGTTTCCTGTCCGCAGAAGCCTTTCCATGACCCTCGAACTGGCGTCTGTGCTTTCCGACTACCTTGTGGTGTCTCATACGATGTAGCCTGCTACCCATCCTTGGGCTACCCATTACGGCGTCGGTCGCAAGAATGGAGCGAGGAGAGTGGATCCTCTTCGCCCAGACAGGTTGTGATGCGCTGCCAGGGTCAAACAGTTATGGGTTGATTATTGAACACGGAGTCTGGAATCGCCAGCTTGACTAAGGCGTCGGATCTGCCCACTCGCGGCTCCATGTAGACGATATAAAGGGGTCTGCGAGAGGCATCCGCTTGTCCAGCCATCCAAGCCACGAGTGCGCGAAAAGACTCACAAGATCGATCACCCATCTCTTTTTGCTGCACAATGCGCCATCTTTGGCTTTTGCCAGCCGTTGCTGGTCTCGCTGGGGCGCAATGCCCGTTTCTGTCCGGCGAGATGGGAACTCCCCCTCGTTTCACCGAGCGAGCAGACAACCCAACTGACACCATCGAGGTTGTCGAACAGCCCATCGATCACTCGCTCTACCTCAATGACACTGACAGCTATATGACCACCGACTTTGGCACCCCAATCTCGGACCAGTGGAGTCTGAAGGCTGGACACAGAGGGCCGACCCTTCTTGAAGATTTTATCTTCCGCCAGAAACTGCAGCGTTTCGATCATGAGAGGGTGAGAGACGTGTACCTGTTCTGACCTTTTGCATGTCTAACCTTTCCAATTTTCTTTACTTTCATAGATCCCCGAACGAGTGGTGCACGCACGTGGTGCCGGCGCATACGGTACCTTCCGATCGTACGGCGATTTCTCCAACGTGACTGCTGCCGATTTCCTCAGTGCCGCCGACAAAGAGACCCCCATGTTCTGCCGCTTCTCAACGGTGGTCGGATTCCGAGGCAGTGTTGATACCGCGCGGGATGTTCACGGCCACGCTTGTCGGTTCTACACCGATGAGGGCAATTACGGTATGCCAGAGCCGCACACGTCAAATCGCGAACCTCCGAGACATAAACACTGATATAGACCATCATCATAGATATCGTCGG